TTTCCGAGAGCAAAGCTTTAAATTTTGCAAACAAAAATTTTGTATCTTTGAACAGAGCGATTTGCCAAGTGGGACGATTGAGCTTGCGCATGGTGCTTATGCGTGACCCTCTGAAATGTTATTGGTTGTTTTTTCGCGCCAAATGGAAAAGGAGTCTAATTGGTTGGATTGAGCAGGTCAAATGATGTTCGCGTGCGATGCCATATTGGATCTACTAACGCATTGGAGCGCCGGTTTGACGCATGTCTGCATGGCATGCCGCCCGCATGCAAACATATGTTTTTTGCCAAAACCGAAGACACACCTTGATATGAACGTTCCCTCGTTAACTCTATTCTATTATTGATATACTAAGATAGCTAAAAACAGCACCGGCTAAATATCAAATTCCTAAACCCGTGCATGCATTTGTATATAATTATTCTGTGAAATCACTAAGTTGAAATAATTCATCAAAGTTCATATGAAATATTATCATGCTTTATTTTGTTTTTAAATGTACTAGGTGTACAATGCATATTAATTTATTTTGTCATATGGATTCAGAAATATCTGACCCTGACTGACATGGCAAAAGTGACAACCGAGACTTCGTGTTGCAACATACCTCGTTAAATATTTTAACTAAAAACAAGCAGTAGCGACCTGATCTATTTTTTTTGAATTACGAAAAGATTTCAAATTTCTTCTTATGTTACGCGTCCATTTTTTCCGAGTTTCCAAATTCTATTGCATATAAAATTACAGCAACTAGTATATTTAATGTAAACAGTCCTGAATATCTTGATGAAATACCGTCAGCGTTTAATAATAGCGCTCAGTACAACGTTTCCTACCAAGTTCAGTATAAGCCATATAAGCCTTCCGTTTGTTTACTGAAACAACATGAGACAGTATTTTTTTCACCAAAAATTATGTTCCTTGTCTTGTTGTTTGCACTGCATGGCTGTTTTAAAACTGGGCCCAGTTGTATAAAAGACTAGTTACTCCGCCTGCGTATGCGCAGCGGAGTCTTAAAATGCCATGGTCTTTTTTCCTTTTAGTAGTCGTAGTTTTGGGCGACAGAAGTTGGCATTTCTACAGCTAACCCAAAACAACTTCATTTTTGACCGAGAAGCCCTGGGTTACACGGTCCACTGATGAATTATGTACATCAGTTGGCATGCAGGTGGAGTGAACGCCTTGAGCAGGCGTCTTGTTAACTTTTAACTGTAGTTAAGGACAATATTGACTAATCAGAGTTGTGTATTTCTGAGTTAACTAGGATTTAACTATGCATGCAAAGTGTAGTTAAATAGTTTTATATACAACCGGCCCCTGAAGAATACTGCAGTGTTGCATGAAGATGGAACGATACATGTAACGTGATACTTGCATGTTTATATAAAAAAATCTACAACTCAAAGTTTGTTAGTTGTTATACCATGTTATTCTTATTATTAATTGAAATTTACTACGCGTAAATTTGTTTTAAATTGGCAAATTAATTATTGGCAACTGTGTTCACCAGACAGTCCTGACGAAAATGCACATTTCAGGTAGCTATATCTATCTCTAAACATTAAACAACACAAATTGCGCCCCCATCCACATTCGTGCTTCTCCCAAACCTCCAGGCGTAAATAGCTACAAGCCAAGGATTCCTTACATTCAATCAATTAGTTCCCTTCTATTGCCTAAATTAAATAAAACCTATAAGAATAGAGTTAAATCTAAAAAGCGAAGTAGAAAGGTGTCATCCAATCAGCATGAATTTAATCAATATCGAATAACAAATAACAAAGCATGCGATAAGATTATAAGTTATAATACGAAATACGTGATCAAGGATTTTTGCAGTTGAATCTGAATAATTTGAATTTATATATAGTTTCATTTTTATTACAGATCCATTATTTTTTATGTGCATTAGAAATTTTATTTGCACGTGGTAACTTTCCATGAACGGGTATATATGTAAACTTGTCCTAACTACAACGCAAACTCGTACCCAGACTATACAACGTATAGCTAGATAAATTAACGCCTTGTATGCAACGAATGATAGCAGATCTTATTAACTTCCCGCGTGTGTAGTCGCATGTTTAAAAAACGCCAAAGTGGAAACTAAGTAGAATAATATTTTGAAAATATTTATTTTACAATATATTGGATTTAATTAATAACCTGTAAAGCCGACAGATACGTCATTGGTGAATTGATATGCGATGAGGCATCATTTAATATTGTCACTGAGTAAATACAGGAAATTCTAGCAAATTCTAGTTAAACGTTACCAGCTCAACTTTCACTACACAGTTCGCTTGGAATGTATGCGGGGTAAATAAATGGAGGCAGCTGGTCGTTTAGCTTAAACGAGCACATGCGAGTAGAAAGCAACATGCAGTTCAATTACTTTTCATTGCTAGCACATCATTCAAATTGCGCCGTTTGGAAATAATGATCGTGATTTTTAGGAGAACCGGCTACATGAAATACATTGAAAAATGCCATCGAATGTCTGAATATTAATATATAAAGCTCATCTGATAGAAGCTATCCAACTTATATTTACAATGCTCGTATAGACTTATAGCTTACTACTCATCAGAAGAGAATGTAGCTTGTGAGAAAAGGCGCAACAATTAATGTTTTAAAAGGAACCACCATTGATTTTGACTATATGACTATACATTAATTTTTATTGTTCGGAATCTCATTTGAATGGCAACCTGTTACATGTGAGCACGAAGTTTAAAGAGAGCAAACAAGAAATGACAACCTGTCGTAGCAGAAAATAGCACTTAAATGATTGTGACGCAGTTTAGCTTTCATAACGACGCGATCAGGAGGTTTATGAACAAGCTCTGTTCAGTGCATTAAGACCAAAATGAAACGCTTTTTTAAAACAGCCTTCTGCCCAGTGAAAGTTCTGTTCCTTTTCTTGCTACCATTTTCTTCTGAGACGGAAGAATACTGCAGGCCCGAAGATGCAAGAAATATTGCAACTCCTTTTCGTATTTTCTTAAAAGGTATAGTTTCTTTTCAGTCGCCTTATTACGGCAAGAAATATTTATCTAAATTATATATTATGTTATAAACTATATAATTGCATGCCTCTAATTAAGTCTACTATTTTATACAGTTATAGCCATATATATAATGCGCCCGTTTCAGACGTCGAATTTTTTCATGTCCCAAACTTGAAATCGTTGTTTAGGTTTATTTGCATTCTTCAATTGCCGCGGCACCTTAAAAGTTGTTTTAATATAACATGCATTTCAGCCCAAAAATGGCCGAAAAGTTATTTGCCATGTAGGGACTCTGCAATTTTGATTTTTTTTTCTCCTTCTGCTGCATAGAATCGGCAAGTGCATGCACTGTTGGCAACCAAAAAAGCAGACGTGTTTCAAGGATATACGTTAGCTAGCCTGTGGCCAGTTGTTCAAAGATAGATTAGCGCTAACCCTAGCTGCATGGGTTAAATTCTAATCCAGTATTTTAGTTTATGTGCTTCTGAACCAATGTTGTTTTAAAACTTTAGAAAATATTACTTCTGTCGTTCCAGAAAATATTTATGAAAAAAGATATTCAAATTTGTAAACAAGCGATTAAAAAATGAATGTAAAGATTTACTTTAACCCAGGTTAAGCTAACCTGCTTTTGAACAACTGGCCCCTGCGTGGTGTTTTAAAAAACACACGCGTCTTCATGTGTTTCAGATCCAACTTACACAACTGCCGACAAAAGCTCGTACATGCACCTGCATGTTTGTGTAGTTGATAAGCACAACGCGGCAGTAAAAATACAGCAAAAAAGTACATTGCTCGTGTTTACATTGTAATAACATTTTAATATTTGTGTCAAATACTTATACTCGTGTTTTGTGCTTAGTAATTTGCACTCGTATGATTTTGGCATTAAATGCATTCCTATTCGTTCACTATAAATTTGAGTATAACTATATATTAATTTTTCTATACATATAGGTGATGGTGATTAGTGTTTCCATTTTTATTTTTTTCATTCAAAAAGTATAGGATTATTATATCGATTAAAACGTTGCTTCTATGGTTTTGAAATACAGCTAGGTGAAAACTAGAACGTTTAACGAACGCCCTTTTTCGTACTGAATTTTTCGCTATTCTATTATTTCTATAGCAGGTGTTTTTCTTGGCAACACTTTACAACATTACGTTTACAGGATGAAAACCTCAATTGTAATATTTACTTAATCACTGAGTGAGCTAGATAAAGACGTTTATATGGCAGGTGATTGTTCGATGATGACGTAATTATAATTTACTTATACCCTAACCCGGATTTTTATAACGTTCAGAAAAAAACCCGACTTGAATCGAACATCTACCGGAAACAAAGGTATTTTTCATCCCTTTTCAACAAAGTAATATCGCATATTCGTTGCGGCTTCTCCGATTTGGCAAAATTTTCAAACATCACTCGTCTATTAATCCCGAATAATTTATCCCGAATGTACTCGCCATCGCGCATGACTACCTGCACGTTGCAATGAGTACAATTTTGGCATTAGCTAATGGCACGATTTAATTCGTTCTATCACTTATTAATTACACATCTTCTGTAATCAAGAGATGTAAATTATTTTTTATTGATCTTCAATTAATATATAAATTTTAATTAATAATTTTTATTACAACAACACTTAGTAAACAGTACAATTTTGAATTAATGTAAAATTTATCATAATTTAAGTTCCCCATTTTATATTTTGTACCATGAATAATGATTGGCTTGTTGTATACATAATAGAGTAATTTTCAATTACAACAGCGCAATTACAACTCTTGCATGGCGCAATCTATTTTTGAAACGATAATTCGCAAGTTATAATTATGAATGCTTTTGCCATCATGAGAAATTTAAAACAGAGACAAAAGTAAAACACGCATAGACGGATAAATCTATATATAATAATTCGCCAATTCGCTATAAATTCCATATATTCCTATGTTTATAGATGTCTGCCCTTTAACAAAAAGTAAGTTTTTCGAATCTACGTATGGCTTGCAGAGCAGTTGCGCTCAAAAATGTCTTCAAAATCCATTTTGTGTTGGGTACAACTTCAACAAAAAACAAATAAAGGTAAACTGCCAGTTGACGCACACGTTTGATCATATCTTTCATGATTGCAACACCAATGACAAAGGCTGGATATTCTATCATCCTCTAACACCAAAAACAGTAAGTATATAACCTAAATTAATGCACGACGCATGGTGATGTGATGTGATGCGATGTGATGTGATGTGATGTGATGTGATGTGATGTGATGTGATGTGATGTGATGTGATGTGATGTGATGTGATGTGATGTGATGTGATGTGATGTGATGTGATGTGATGTGATGTGATGTGATGTGATGTGATGTGATGTGATGTGATGTGATGTGATGCGACGCGATGTGATGTGATGCGATGTGATGTGATGTGATGCGATGTGATGTGATGTGATTTCTTCCTGTGTTTCTATACAGTTATAATAGAAACCTTTGTGGAAGTTTGGGAGAACTCGAAATAACGTGGAAAAACTCGCCCTAGTATATACGTTCTTGTTATATAGGTTCTGTGTATTTTAAATGTGATTGGTTCATTCGTAGTCACATGACTTTAAATAAATGCAATGTTTCCCACCAGGGAAACAAGTGAAAAATTGTTGCCCGCTTCTTGTCATAACAAAGTGAAGTGGGTTTCTTTTTTAAATGTTTTTGTTCCTATATAACAAAACACTTAATGTACACTACCTCGGGAAATAGTGAGTTTTGTTTTCCCTCGAGTCTCAATGTTTCCCTCGACTTCGTCTCGGGAAACATTCAGACTCTTGGGAAAACAAAACTCACTATTTCCCTCGGGAGCATACATTAAGTGTATATTGTTTTCCCACTGATTATCTCTCGTTCTCCCAAACTCCCACGCGTGTTTCTATAACTGTGTAGAAACGACGGAAAATGTTTTATATTTCTTAGATATAAAATGATAACGCCCTTTTATATTATTCTATGACCTTTTTATAGGTGCCATGCAGTAAAATGAAGCATTGCAAAAATGGTGGAAAGACGATCATTGATCTTCGAGATGGCCCGAGCTCTGATCCTTACAGATGTGAATGCCCAAAAGGATTCAAAGGAGATACTTGTGAAATTAGTGAGTTTAAATTTTACTACATGTTGCTGCATTCACAACTGTGAGCCGTAAAGACGACCAAATACCTGAGGGTTTTTTAGGATTGAAATATTGTTGCATTTGAAGGAAAATATATCATTATGTTAGTTTTGGCTTATAATAAAAAAATACACTAATGTTTGTACAAAAAAGGACACATTATTTTAGATGTCTAAAGTCAATTTGACAGCAAAACGTTTTTTAGCAAACTCACAAGATGTTTTCAGTTTTCATGCGACGTAATACTCTTAAATTGTACATGACTCCATGCAGACTAAGCGAAAACCGCGCAATTAACGAATCGCGGTAAAACTGTTCTAAAGCTCCCTAACATCGTCTGATCGACCGTCTCGTACACTGCAACGTGTTAATTGTTTAAATACTTGCAATTAGGTGATTTGGATAGTTCATTGATATTGTCTGCTGAACCAACCTTACGAAAAAAGTTAATTGATTGGGTTGGATCAAGCAGAAAATGGACGATTTGTTGGCGGGCAACTAGAGACGGATGGTCTGCCTCTTCGTTTCACACTAATTGTGACCACAAGACGCCAACTTTAATTATTATTAAAGTTGGTCGATACATCTTCGGAGGTTATGCTAATTCATCGTGGGAAGGTGAGGCTATTGTAATTAGCACTCTATTGTGCATAAATTACTTGTTCATCGAGCGTTATTTGGTTTTCAATATTATAGTTCGAGTTTTAAAGGTCCGTAATGTAAACAAACCCTACATTTTGAACTATTGTTGTTCCCCAAACATGACAAGTTGCCTACAGATGTATTATTTCGCTATGATGATGAGCTAATGTAAATTAGGCGAAAATCGCACTTAAAACCATGGAATTATAAATGGGTCTGTTCAATCTTCGTACCCTGTCAGTGGAGAAAAATATTACTGATACGAGTTTTATTAGAACACTAGTAAAACTCACGTTTATTGGATAAAGTTGGCAATGCTATAGAAATTGAAAAACCTTTCCGGGAATACACGCCCAAACTCTTGATATAGGACGCTGTATGCATGAATGAAAACGACAAAATCTATATATATATTACAGGAAATGGAGGATGCAAACGAGCCCCGGGTTCGTTCATTTTCTCATTACGAAATAAAGAAAGTCTCCCGCCTTTCATATCGCAACTGAAGCAGGGAAGAAAAGGGTATGCAATTCACACCAGCTCAAGCGTTGGACCAGTGTTTGGAAATGGTCATGATATTTGGATATCGAACAACGCTGCCTCGAATTACGACTCTCAGACAAATTTTAACGTCGGCTATCAAGCTCCACCTGGCGTCAACGACACCAGAACCATACTGGCGGGAAGTTTCAATTTCTCTCCATCTGAAATTGAAGTATACTACCTATTGTAAGCTGATTAGATACTTAAATAGAACCATGAATTGCTAAGCATTGTAACATCGAAATCGAAGTTCTTATTGATATACCTATCTATAGTTTTAGACCTATAGTTTTATAGTTAAAGACCAGGGATGTTTTGTAGAATGACACTGATTAATACAGCTTACTTTACATGTTTGTATGGACTATTATAGTATGCAGCAAAATTTTACAGCATAAACAATCACAGGTCTAATTTGTCGACGCACGCCTTCGAATTTAGCCTGCGAATAACAGAATCTATATTTATACGCTTATTCCACGGTGGGGGGAAACGCGATAAATAGAACGCCATCTTGGATGGACTATGTCTCACATCTCGCCTCGATTTCGTGTGTCACGTACTGTCGTACTCGATTTTGGAGTCCTATTACTGCATGTTTTTTATTATTATTATTATTATGAAGGTTTATTAAAAACATATATTTTCGCATCGATAAGGTGAATTACAATATGTCTAACATATAGTTTATATATATAGTTAAAACAAATTATTACACAATAAAAATAGCTTCTAGATATAACAAAAGTCATATAGGATAAGAAGAATTGAAAATATCACACATTGCCGGAATAAAACTGTTCTTATACCGATCTGTCCGACATTTAGGGAGGTAATAATCTGATTATTTCTAAGGTTATAGTTCTGTGAAACCTCACGAGTGGTGGGTAACAAATGATGCAACAAGCGAGACCAAGGTTCCTGAATCTTTTTAAAAGTATTTACACATAAATCACGTCTCCTATCGTCCAAGCGAGGGCATTGTGCTAAATTTAAAGCATCATCGTAATGAAGCCCTGGATAAATTATACGTAGAGCTCTTTTCTGAACAAGTTCAACTTTATCTGATAAGTATTTCGGAAGATTACAATGCCACGTTGGACAGGCATACTCAAGAACTGAGCGTATCAAGGCAAAATAGATCGCAAGAAGATCAGACGGAGAGACACCACTACGACGCAAAATCCGTATGATATATTATCGTTTGGAAGCTTTCTTCACTAATACTTCTGTATTATCTTTCCATTTAAGTTGGTTGTTCATCGTTAAGCCCAACACATTAAACGAAGAAACTAGATCGAGATGTTGTCCATCAATACAGAGTCGAGGTAAATCTGGTTGGTTGTGAAGGAAGCTAATTATCATCTCCTTACATTTTTTACCATTCAGCTTCATATCATTCTGTTCTGCCCAAGATTGAAGTGCATCAAGGTCAGATTGAAGAGTTGAAACCTCGTTAATTGACAGGAGCTCCGAAATTGTGACATCATCGACAAATTTCCAATAATTTGTATTAGGTGACTTTAACTGCAAATCGTTAATCATTATTAAGAATAGGACGGGTCCCAATTTTGTTCCCTGAGGGACCCCCACATCAGCAAAAGCCCAATCAGAATTAAAGCCATCGATATTGACAGACTGGCGACGATTAGAAAGGATGGCGCAAATCCATGGGACCAGTGACTCTCTAACCCCAAGCGAGAGCAGTTTTCTAACCAAAATATTGTGGTTAATGCAATCAAATGCTTTGCTAAAATCCAGAAAGCAGATTCTAAGAAAATGGGACGAAGTGTCCAACGTTTTAAGCCAATTGTTGATCATATCAATAAGGCAGAAAGTCGTCGATGTTCTCTTTAGGCTTCCAAATTGCTGTGGGTCGATTTTATGTTTAATATCATCCAACATCCAATTAACGACGAAATCCTCAAGGATTTTTGATAAGTTTGCTGTGAGAGAGATCGGACGGAGCTCATCTTCACAGCATACAATCTGGGTCTTGAGAACCAGTGTAATAATAGCATCTTTCCACATCAAAGGAACCTCTCCAGTAGATAAGGATGTATTAAAAATGGTGGAAACAGGATCTGCCAGTTCGTATGCAAACTCCTTGAGAATACGGTTAGGGATACCATCAGGACCATGTGATTTAGAGGTGCTAACCCTTCGCAGTTTCTCACAAACCTCTTCAGGTGTGATGGTAGGTACAGGACAGGAGGCTGGAAGGTACGATGGCAATAAGGAAAGGTTAAGCGGTGGAAGGTCAGAACTTACACTAACAAAATGGTCATTCAACAACTGGGCTAGATCTTTGCCAGAAAGGGTCACACCGTCTTAAACAATATTGATGGCATTTGTAGATGGTTTCTTCACGATAACATTTTAATGGAGTTCCACCATTTTCTTGGATTACTAGATTTAAGGTTCTCTACTTTATTAGCGTAGTATGAACGTTTACACACTAGTATTTCATTTCTTACTTTCCGTCGATAATGGCGCCAGAGCTGCTGGTCTCCCGAGTAGAAAGCTCTCTGTCTCTCGACTATGGACTGTTTTAAAGCTGGAGTAATTCACGGCTTATCTGTACTATGGAGCTTAATTACTTTTGTTGGAAATTGCAAGTCAATTCCTGAAATAAGTTCATGGGTTAAAGAAGAGGCCAACTCTGAGGCAGTTGCAGTGTTTTCAACGTTTGCAAACCACTCGTGTGTTGAGCACCACCTGCCAAAAGCGTCACATGCCGACTTTGGAAAACAGCGCGTGCTCTTCTTGGTTGTATTTTTGCCGTAAGGTTTAGTGTTGTTCCAAGACTGCGAAAACCATTTAACAATACAATGGTCAGAGGAACCTAACGGTGCAACAACAACCGGATCATAAAAATATTGAGACAAATCAGTAATAATCAAATCCAATATATGGTCACCTCGTGTTGGAACTTGTACTATCTGTTTTAGGTTATGATGGATCAAAAGATCACGGACATCCAAATTATTGAGATCACCAAGGATAGCGACTCCCCCATGCAGTCCGAATGGGATAGCTTAACGAGATCTAATTTGTCTATAATAAAGGATACAAGATCCCTCTGTTCTTGTACAGCGGTGTCAGGCGGGTTGTATAAAACACAGCAAATAAGCCCATTATTAAGCCCGATAAGGGCGTAGAGAGATCCACATGCATTCAAAGGCCTCATTCTTTAGGTCATGTTTCCTTTTACATGGTATATTGGTAGAGACAAAGGCAGATACACCCCCACCTCGGCCGTAGGACCTGTCGTTTCGAAAGATGTGGTACCCATTTATGGATATTATTTGGTCATTAATTTCATCGGTAAGCAACGTCTCAGTAATAGCAACAAATTCCAGCGACTGCATATTTAAGAGAACTGACAACTCGTCAATTTTAGGTAACAGTGAACGCGCGTTTATAAGATAGAAACTGGGTAACTTTACGGAAGGAGATGTTTCTTCACTTGATGTAACATGTATATTCAACAAATTATGGCTATTGACTTGCTGGTGATATCTTTGCTTTCGGGGAAAGGTAATTCGTACAGGGATATTTATACCATATTATACCATTTATACCATACCAAAAAAAAAAAAAAAAAAAAAAAAATTGAAGATTGTGCTCTGGCAAAAGACCCTAAACAAAGCTGGAAGCTAATTAACGAACTTCTGGGGAAAAATAATAGAGCGAACAATATTTCCCAGTTAAAAATAGACGCAAATATTATTTCTGACGACTGATAAAAATGGCAGAGTCCTTTAACGAACACTTCGTGAGTATTGGGGCTAAATTAGCCGCCGAAATTGAGAATAATTCCTTGGACCCAAGTTGGTCAGAAAATGTCAATTCCCAATCAGATATACAATTTAGATTTTCAGAAATTAATGTGCATGATGTATTCCTTCAGTTATATAGACTTAAAACATCAAAATCGACAGGCATTGATACTATTCCAGCAAGGGCACTCAAAATTTCAGCTGAAGTAATTAGCCCATCATTAACGTGGATATTTAACCTCTCGATTAGAACTGGAATCTATGTAGACGAATGGAAAAAAGCTTGGGTTCTACCGATTTTTAAATCTGAAGACAGACAAAAGTGCGAAAATTATCGCCCAATTTCAATTTTACCAATTATTAGCAAAATTTTTGAGCGTTCTGTTTTCAACCAATTGTATGAATTTTTGAGTGAGAACTCTTTGCTTTCTAAGTATCAATCTGGATTCCGCCCAAAGAATTCGACTTTGACTGCACTTATTCAAATGTGTGAAGCATGGTACGAAAATATAGATAATGGCGACTTGAATGGTGTAGTTTTTCTTGATATTAGGAAAGCTTTTGATTCAATTAATCACAATATCTTATTGCACAAAATGAAAGAACAATTTGGAGTTTCAAATATTGAATTGAAGTGGTTTGAATCTTATATTTCTGATAGGGAACAAGTATGTTTTGTCAACGGCACGATATCAACGCCAAAAAAGATAGTCTGTGGGGTTCCTCAGGGATCCATCTTAGGACCATTATTGTTTTTACTTTACATTAACGATCTCCCAGATTGTCTCGATAACACCACCCCGTGCTTATATGCTGATGATACGCAGATGTTTTCAACAGCAAAGGATTCAGCAGAACTTATCTCCAAGTTAAATAGCGATTTGAATAAAATCAGCCAGTGGCTAAAAAGTAACAAATTACAGCACCATTCAACCAAAACTAAATTTATGTACGTTGGATCAAAGGATAATCTTCTTAAGATCAATGATGATATTCCTGTAATGCTAAATAGCAAACCTATTCCCAGAGTATATTCAATCTCTTGTCTGGGCGTTACCCTTGATGAAACATTAAGTTGGGAAGAACACATTGAAACGATTTGCAAAAAAGTTGGGGCAGGTATAGGAACGTTAAAACGCGTCAAGCCCTATGTTCCTGGAAACATGTTGCAATCGATTTATAAAGCTTTGATACAACCCTATTTCGATTATTGCTCTCCCCTTTGGGATACCTGCAACAAGACATTGAAAGATAAGCTGCAAAAATTTCAAAATCGGGCAGCTCGAATAATAGCTGGCGCTAGCTATGAAATTAGGTCTACAGATATTCTTCGAGCACTTGACTGGGAAAATTTAGATTCCAGACGAAGTATGACCAAGGCAGCATTATTATAATAAATTTTGAATGATTATACCGCACCTAATTTGAAAGAATTATTCATCAGGAGGAATCTTTTGCAAAATAATTATGACCTCAGAAACTGTCACATTGATTTGGCTCTTCCAAAACCGAGACGAGAATTTCTGAAAAAAAGTTTTAAGTACAGTGGTGCTAAACTTTGGAATAATCTTTCGCAAGAAGCTAAGGAAGCGCAATCTATTTATTCTTTCAAAAATATTGTAAAGCAAATGAATTGTTAAATAGAATTAAGATTCAATCATGTATAGATCTTAGCATACGGCCGGATCACACCAACTCAATCTATTTTCTTTCTTATATATTTCTCTTTTGTAAATAGCTATGTAGATATATTATTATCTTTTGTAAATGTTCTATTGTGTTTTGGACGCCCCTTATGGAAACCAACTTTTGTTGATAAGGCTAGCGTCATTAAAGAAGGTTTTACATACATACATACACCATCAGAATTTACATCATCGAAAAAAGTTAATTTCTCATTAGATCGCGAACAAAATCTAGGTAGCTTAACCAGTCTTTCGAATTCCCCAACTTCGGCCGTTTTATCCTTGAAGGACGATCCTTCCAGAAACTCCCCCGAAAAGGAGACTGGTTTACCGCTTTACTTGATGTAACTTGTATATTTGACAGATTAGGCTTATTTGCTTGCTGATAATATCGTCGCTTTTGAGGTTTTCGGCGTGAGGTGATTCGTATACAGGAATACATTTGTTATCAGAATTTAAGTCAGCAGAAAGGTCGGCTTTCTTGTTACGACGCTAACGAGGCACAGGTAGTTTGACAGCTGGGGCGTACTGATTCAGGCCCTGATGTGTGATAGCAGCAGGTAATGTAGTTGATGGTAAAGCTGTAACCGTCGTGTGAATTATTCCAGGAGTAATTGGCCGTGTAGTTGGTAGTGTAGCCTCCCTGTGAGTTGTTCCAGGACGATAAATACCCAAATCTGACGCTGGCAAATGGTTTGATATTCGAGCTGGGGTGAACGTTTCTGGCACTGATGTGTGATAGTAGCTGGTATGGTTGGTGGTGTAGCTGTAACCATCGTGTGTAGGTTATTCCAGGAGAATAATCACCCACGCCTAACTCTAGTGAATTAGAACTGAGTTGATGTTGACTTTCATACACTTTTCAAATCAGGTCTCATATATATATATATATATATATATATATATATATATATATTATATATATATATATATTATATATATATATATATATATATATATATATATATATATATATATGAGAAAGTGCTCTGTTTCAAATACTAGTATTGCGCGACAAAACACACTTGCATGCAACGACGAAAAATAATTAAAAAAAGAACATAACAAAACCTAGGCGAATTTTCAACTCCGTCGCTCACGCAGGAGTAATAAGAAATACATGTACTTATTTCAAGATGACCTCATTAACATGCAATGAAGCTTGAAAGTGACTATTCATAATGAACGGGAAAGAGTAAAATGAGCGAATTTCTTTAAAACTTTTCTCTGAATTTTTTCTTCAGTATACATACTCCTCTTAAAACAATAACCCTTTTTCTGTAGCTTTAAAAGGTTTATTTCTCAATCAGGGCATACTACAGCTGCATAAACCACTACACTATACTTCTGCTCGTGAAACTCCGAGTAGCGATAACTAAATAAATTCATTTTAAGATATAATTTCATGTATATATTTACATGTCATAGTAAGGAGAACAATATTGATATTTATAAAGAAACCAAAATAAGCGATATGTTTTAAAGTCGCATAATTCTATTTATATATTTGCATATAATTATACTGACATAGACAAGATATAGATATAGCTTTCATCTCAGTAAAAGGAGTATTTTATTAGCGGCATTTTATGCGACCCATTAAACCTGGTCAATCTCTTTACTCTTCACGTTCTTTTAAAAATGTTCTCGCACAGAAATTTTCAAATATCGGCAGGCTGATAACACGGCGAAGGTGTAAATATATATACAAACCAATTATTTTATCAAAATATCTCAAAAGTGTATATACGTATTGGATGCAAAGTAACCCATTTCAAGCTTTCTTAGCATTTCGAACACACTTTACAAATTAACATTTCTCAAATTATAATTGCATTGGAAGTGGCAAGGAAAATTGCATAGTGTAGCGCGCCTTAAATAACCGGCCACTCAAGATCTCATAATTAAAGTAAAATGTTTAAATTTATGGACCAAGTATAGGAAAGAACTCAGACGTCCAGCTTGTTCTCTTGTTAATTATTAATCTCCACTGTTTAAATGCACTTCGCTGTTTTAATTAACGTCGTATGCCGATATCAAACTCTGTGTAGACAAAAGGTATATCGTGTTTCAAGTTAGCGCGCTTCCAGCTGCGCGCGGCTGTATTATTTGACTCAAAATTCGTGGATTTTTCCTGCTCGTGCGTTGTGCGTAAAAAAAATTTTAGTTACCAGCGGGATTTAAAAATTCACCTTCGGCACGTCTAGTAATGCAATTTTCATACAGATTGATCTTGTTTTATAGATCTGGACTTTGGGGTTTTTAAGTGACCTACTCGGGAAAGTGATAGGGAAACTGGAGCTAGCGCTGTTGCAATGCATTGTGACGTCTAGTTACTTCCATTTTTTAAATCTACATGATTTGGCGAAAATTTTGATACCGAATTTATACATATTCAAAGCGAATTAAGAGTGGACCAATGGCTCTATATTCTATATTCCGGGTTTTCAGTTTCTGGATTTTGGTTTTGCCTACCTCATTAATCCATTCCGTCGAAGGGATAGAGCATTAATACGAACAAAATACGCCTTTTCTACAGACTACAGTTCCTTCTTTTAATTACGAAGTAAGTAAGTATTAAAATTATAAATTTTTGATGATTGTCCATATTGAAAAGTTTAAAATATCTTTGTTCGGAGTTGTTCGGAGTTGTTCGGAGTTGATAATCACTCTGTGTCTTTATTTCAGCTTACAAAAGAGCGGCAGCAAAAGAACGGAGAAACCTATGGCTATGAATCTTCTTTTAGTCAACGTGTTTGCGGACGAAAACTCATTATTATTATTTATTAATGTGTTCATCAGCAAAACGCTGAGCCGGATGGCTTCAAAATTCGCTTTATGAATTCGCTTCGATCTCGACGCCATTTTTTTTATGGCCGCGCGGTATTGCTCTCAAAAGGGACTAGACTCTAGCTAGGGCAAACGTCCCAATTTGTACTACAAGAGTTTGATATTTAACGTTGCGAAAACAACTAATTTCATCTCTCTCGCAAGGTGTTGCAACGTCAGAAAGAGACGTTAATTGTTTCAATGCTGTATGAAATTAATAATAAACGTTTAAGAAACATTGTTATTATAACGTCGTTCAAACGTTATTAAAACAAAATTGATCCAATTTGCACTTTCAAATTTTTCTCAACGTCGGTTCAACGGTAGAGATCACGTTATTCCAATGAAGAATCCAAGCCATTAGACGCGCCCAACATTTGGTTAAGCGCATTATAGTTCTCGTGTGCACCATGCAGGCCTGAGACAACGATATTCATATATAGCGACTCTTCAATAAACCGTCGGTTGCGTCACTTACAATTACAATACGCGTTGTTTTCTTCTCGAAGAATATCACAGTTCGAGGGTTGATCTTAGTATAGCTATATAGTCAATATAGATAAAGACACATTTCTTAAGACAAATTTGGAACACTCCCAAAAAGCGATATTGTTATTGACGTTTCTCTAGAATGTATAGAAACTTTTTACTAAGAATGTTCGATATATGTACTGAATCCCAATGTGTTCATTGCATGCAAAACGTAGATAGATGAAGAAAAACTCATTCATCTTAAAAGAAGAATCCATAATTATTTTAGTTCACCCATGGAAGCTGGTCAGCAGCTGTTGCTTGTGCAGCCCATGAGTTAAGCTAGTCACGAATGAAAACAGTTTAACCACCAGGCAACAAAAAAACGGAGGTTTCTTAAAGCAATTAAGAGTTTAATTCCAGTTTGAAATAACGTTTCGTGGCAACCCGCCTTTTTAAATTTATATATATGTATATACAGTTCCCCAAACATATGCTTAGTTTAGTTTGCAAACGACACGGTCACAAACAACGGTGAAGCAATCTTAACGAATTTTATGTCATCCCTCCAGAAAATGAAACAATTTCTTAGAAAAGCATTTTTGTCGGTAAAGTTTGTATTCCTGGTTTTGTTGCCGATGGCTGTAAAAATGGAAGAATACTGCAGTCCCGAAGATGCAACAAGCATCGCCACTCCTTTTCGCATGTTATACAGAGGTAACGCGTTAAATTTTGATGTTTGATCGTTTGTAGAACTTAATCCCTAGAGAAGTTTAGAGAATATATTGCTATATTTCCGTAAAGGTATATATATTTTTACGAAAAACGAAATTGCATTAACAAGATAGCCGCCAAAGGCCGTTACGATCGCGATGTGGGACCGCGGAAGAGAAAAAGTGAATGTAGGCTCACTTCGTGTACAAGAGAGATTTTTAAGTCCTGTTATATTAAACTGCAGGAGAGCTGAACACGTTAAGGCCCATATGTCACGGCTTTAATTAAATTTTATTTCGTGTATATTAGTATATTTAGAAATGTCGATGAGGCAAAGAAATATTTTTGCGACATGCGGAAATGAAAACTGATAAATTTTATTCAATGGGCTGTTTGGCGGGATGAAAACACGTTGCTATAAATAGCTACGACAGATTGCAAAGCTTCCGAGACTTCACGAGAAATATCTTCTCTGTTTTAGGACAGGCAAAATAAACCGCCTTTAAGGTGGCTCCCTAGAGTTTTGTAAAAATTCTAGATAGGTTTGTGGTGGCGAATTAAGTGCCAATATTGCAGATTAAAGATCAATAATACTTTTGATTATATTGTGGAGTACGTTAGAGATGAGAAACTGTTGACGGATTAACTATGAAGGCCGTTGCTATGGAAACAATGAGGTTTCAACATGGCCGCTAATTATAATTTAATTGCAATTATTTCGTGAATCCTTCGGTGAATTTTTTTTATTTTTCACCGAATGCTTTGCAGGTCATTTAGTAAACGACCGGACAATTTTAAAAGAAAGTTATCGATAGGATTTTTTTTAATCGCGTAAAACCATATTTTCCCACTTTAAATTTTTTTGTATCGATAACTTTTTCTTAAAATTGTCCTGTGAATTACTAACCATCTGGAAGAATGTTCAGTGGAAAAAGAAGACATTTCACCGAAGGGTTTGTGAAATAATCGTAATTTAATGATAATTGGTGGCCATATTGAAACGTCATTGTTCCCATGGCAACAGCTTCTATAATTGGCCAATCAATATTTTCTTATTTCGAACATGGTACTCAATACGTTAAGGCTAATTTTAATCTATAGTTTACAATGTTGGTGCTTAATTCTGCATCATCAAAAATGCACTTAAAACTGGTTCTCGGCTATCCATGCTATTTAAAATAAGGCCATAAAAGGGACGAAATAGTTAAAATGATAGACATGGAACAACGATATCATATCGCGATTAGCTACAGCAATAGACAATGGTTTCGAATTAAGCTAAGCAAGATTTAAAGAACCATGCATATCTGGTTTATATTCTAATCATTATTATCACTCTCTTTATTTCCTCTTCACCTTTAATTGTGTGGTTGTTTAAAAGCCTTTACTGATAAGAAACTTTCTCTTATCAACAGCAGCTTCTATTGCGTCCTCTGGGTCAAAATAATTGTATTTAACAACCGCCTTTTGTATGAATTCTAGTTTCTTATGTACTGGATATTTTAGTTGTCTCACCCACGAAGGGCGCTCAAAATAGATATTTTCTAATTCTTGCTAGAGGCTTCTTTCTTGCTCCTGTTCGTGTCTGCGCGAAATATAAACACGACTAAAGAGCCTTGTTATCGAGCAGCATTGTTGTTTTATAAGCAGATGAGCATCTTCTGTGCATGGACACTTACGAAGAATTAATTCCTATTCAAAATCCTAAATTGATGTGATTCTTCCATTTATAGATGTCTGCCCCTTAACCAAAAACAAGCTGTTTGAATCCACGTATGGTTTGCAAAGCAGCTGCGCTCAGAAATGTTTGCAAGATCCATTCTGTGCTGGGTACAACTTCAATAAAAAGAAGGTGAAGCCAAACTGCCAGTTAACACACACGCTCGACCACCATTTTGGTGATTGCAACATAAATGACAAGGGCTGGATATTTTATCATCCTCTAGCCCCGAGGAAGGTAAATTTAACAACCTCAATTAGATAGATTTGCACTATCATTGTGTCTTCACGGACCGATATGTTCGCGGCATCGAATCACGAAGACTCGAACCAGCACTCAGTCTCAGAGACGACACAATGACCGGGATCTCGCCTAGTATATGTTTGTATATAATATCTTTCGTGCGGTGTTTATATGAGGGCAGGATGCTTTCAGCAGGCGGGATCTCGTTGTAGGCGGTCATTTTTTGTCATATAAACGCTCGATCTCGCTTGACCGGGACAATATTACGCTGACATTGCGTTATTTGATCAATGTCACTGAGCAATATGGTATTCCCGGGAGAAATGCCCGTCCGGGGTATTCCCGCGAGAAAACATCCCCTTTGAAAAACAATCATGTAAACGCGGGATGAAAAAGTATGATCAATTTCAATTATACAAAAATTAAATCAACCGAGGAATTTAAATTTAACCCTAGGATAGGCATTTTTATCCCTGCATGCATGGATTAGCGTTAACCTGCTTTTGAACAGCCTGCCCCAGGAGTTTTTAACCCAACAGTCTAAACGTAATTTGCTAGGCTTTAATATTCTTACTCAAGGCCGATCTACACGTATGCTGGCGTATGCATGTTTTCGAAAAAATGCGTGTAAAGATGTCACATTTTAAATTTCGTTAGAAACTGATGAACAAACAGAGTGGTGTCACTAATCTTTCTCATACGTGAGGATAAGAATCGACCTTCTAAATTTAAGTGGTGTTAAAATCTTTTGACGTAATTACCGAAAAGGTCTATTCGTATAGATCGGCCTTTAGAATTCGTTTTCCGCCCGGGGGCCGGTTGTTCAAAGCTAGGTTAGCGCTAACCCTGGGTTAAATTTTACCCAGTTGTTTTGGTTTATACGGTTCTTCACTGCTGTTCGTTTCAAGACTTTGCAAAATAAGACTTTCATTTATCCACAAACTATTTATGGGAAAACATGTTCAACTGTATAACCGAGCGATTAAAAATACTGATGTAACAATTTGAGTTAACCTAAGGTTAAGCTAACCGGTTTTTGAACAACCGCCCCCAGGTGTCCAAATCACGGAAATATAATTAATCCGGGGGAATTTGACACCATCGGTTATGCATTTTTTACCAGAAATTTCGGTCATTTAATTATATTCAAATGAAAATCATTAAATACAGTTTGGCTAATTTTTCATGTCCTGATCATGTGCGTGCCTTTTTTCAAAATTACAAAGGACACAAAACTCAGTGCAAAATCTTGCTTTAATTATCACCTTGGAACGTGCGACGTTTAAAACAAATTTACTAATTTTGCTAATTTACTATGTGTATACCCACTTTATATCAGCGAGGAAGGTTTCGCAGTTGACCCAGTGAGTTGACCTGTAATTTTTGAGCAAGCCTTTGAGCATGGAGATAAACCGCGTTAATTAATGTTCCATTTTATATGTATAGGTCCCGTGCAATAAAATGAAGCGATGCAAACATGGCGGTAAAACAATTATTGATCTTCGAAATGGACCTGGATCTAATCCATACAGATGCAAATGCCCAAAAGGAGTCAAAGGAGATCTTTGTGAAACCACAGGTGAAACTTGTAAGTATGGCTAATCAATTTACAAGGCAAGACAAATTAAATGCAAAGAATTACAGGAATTATTAATGTATTTTATATTCATATGTTCCCGTAACGTTAGAGTATATATATTTGCTTCATTCTTGTTTAGTCGCCCTAGCTCAATCAGTGATATTGTTTGAAGAACCAACTTTACAAGCAACGTTATCAGCGTGGATCCAAACAACCGGAAACTGGACAATCTGTTGGCGTGCAACTAGAGATGGATGGTCAGCCTCTACTTTCCATGGAAATTGTGATCACAAGAAGCCAACTGTGACCATTATTAAAACTGGTCAATATATCTTTGGAGGCTACGCTACAGAATCATGGGAAGGTAAACCAGACGAATCTAAACGCCTAACTATTTTTTGAGATTTTTCTTAGATTTAGACGTATATATACGGACTTGATTCCACGGGCGCTTTTTTTCGCGCGCAACATTATTCACAACAGAGTATATTAGGTCGCGTATATTTTAATTTTCAGCTGGAAAATGCTTATACACTGAACTGTTGTATTGGGTGAACTCAACTGTTAGAATTTTCTAAGAGGTGTAGTGAAATTTAAATCAATAATATGGAAATTTTGGTGTTTTATGCGCAATTAATATACCGCAAAATAAACATGACGAAATCTTCGGCAAAATATATATATTTTACGCTATTACAGGAAGAGAATGGAAACAAGCCCCAGGGTCTTTCATTTTCTCATTACGAAACAAAGAAAATCTCCAGCCTTTTATAGCTCAACTGAAGGACCAAAACACAGATCACGCAATTTACGCAGCCTCACATTATGGACCAACATTTGGACGTGGTCATGATATCTTCATATCAAACAACGCTGCTTCGAATGTCGCCTCCAACACACAATTTAATAACTTGAACTATCAAACTCCACCTGGCGTCAGCAACCCGCAGACCATCCTGGCAGGAACCAGCTACTTCACCCCATCCGAAATTGAAGTATTCTATATTTTGCAGAACTGATCTAAATATTTGAACAAAACTAGCTGGCCATCGCACATGTTACGTCCGGAATTGAAGTTAATATCAATTTAGTTTAATTTGAATAACGCATGCATATTAGTGAGAGGAGGGGTGACTGAAAAAATAGGTGCACATGATGAAGATATTTCACAAAGTAGAACACTCAGTCTGATTATATGCATGAGCCCCGTCTAAACTACACTTATTTCACTGGCATACGACACGGCTAAAATTGGTACACGTTCCCAATTTTATTCGTCTCAGACTCTATAATCTATAATAGTGTCGAAATATCTAATTAACTACGCACCAGCAAGTAAGAAATCTTACGCTCACAAGCATTCGACTACATTGAAAACAAATGGATTGAGGCATTTTTTACTACACTGGCGGTCTAAAAGAACTGCTCGAATGTTGCTATTATTGTATGTTACAGGAATCGTGACAATCTATCTTTTATTGTACACTAGCGGTCAAAAAGAACTGTTTAGATACAAATTCATAAAAAAGAAGCGAATATAGGAGAGAGCTTCGTGGGCATTTTGTATAATTCTCTTATTCCAAACAATATTTCAATAATGTAACGGAACCTGCCACACTTCCAAGATATTGTCAAAAAATGGTTTCAGGAAGAGGGAGTGACAGAAATGGATTGGCCTGCACAGTCAAAAGACCTTAACCCTATTGAAAATCTGTGGGACAATCTCAAGGAGATAGTGCAAGAAAGGAATTCATTCATAAAGCCTCCAGGATTTATGCGTTGCTGTAAAGGCTAGCTGTCCATAGGATGAATTTCTTTTAACCCTGAAGATTACCACCTTAACAGAAAGTATGCCACGTTGGTGTAAGGCCGTCAAATATTATAAGGCCATATAGGAGAGTCAACAAAATATTAATATTTCATATAGCTTAGCATGTAATCTAGTGTATATTTGCTCGTATATATTGTTAGAGGGACAGTTACGTTCATTTGAGAGCATTTTAACTTGTTTTGAGCAGTTCTTTTTGACCGCCAGTGTATTTTCCTATACAGTCTACATTTCTAGTCTCGATCTATTGTCCTGGGCGAGTTTGTTTAAAACCCATACAGTTATGATCTTTTTGATCGCTTGTTAAATATATTATATAAATATATAATTTATAATATAACAGTTATAGTACGCGCGTGTCGATTGGTCGAGAAGCGTGTTTCTATTTAACAATTAGACAACGAGTCCGAGTATTCGCTCATAGACAACGAAGGCGAGTATACACCCTGTACCTAGATATATTATTTTCTCGAAAATAATCGATACGCCGCAATTACACCGAAAAATAATTTAATTAATTCAATTTTATAAGGTCGAATTTTTCCCAAACGTTCACCATCACGAATAGACAATGGTTGAGTAGCCAATCAGAATGTAAGATTTGTAATAGACATGCAATAGTCGGGTGTATACTAAAACTGTATAGAAACACGGAAAATGTTCTCTATTTCTTAAATATTATACAGGAAAAAGCAATGGCTAATGCCCATGCATACGTATAATATATGGAGATCTTTAATATGTAGCTACGTTTCAAAACCATTAATTAGAAATTAAGAAATATTAACTTTTAGTTGTCCGCCATAATTTATAACTGCATTAAGTAACTTTCGTTTGTCATACTTCTCTTTGTGTAATCATAGACAATCCAGAAAACATGTCTTCTGGATTGTCTATGGTGTAATCAATCGACAGTCGAAAAGGTTAGATTACTTGCATTGGTATTGTGCATCTATAGCTGTGGGTGGGAATGTGGTTTGTAAAAAGTGCATGATTTGCCTGACCACTTTAAATAAATGCAAGTGCTAAATTGAAGTTGTTCGATATTATCATAGACAATCCAAAAGACAGGGACTGGAAACGCCGTTAAAAAACAATAGCGTCTCCAGTCCCTGTCTTTTGGATTGTCTATGATATTATGTACCGGACATAAAGAGGTAAGTGGTCATGGACGTTGGTTGGGCCTTTTTAATTGTTACTTGCATGCGCGAGTTTAAGACGATTTTAAACTGGTAACAAGCAAGCCTATGTTTGGCTAGACATAAATTTTGTTTCGAACAAAAGTATATGAGCAATTTAACTAACCAAAGGGTAGATATGTATATAAAGAGGGTTCACTCTGCGAAAATGCAACACTTAAAGATATGCCCACGCAATTAAAAGGCAAATTAACTATTCCAATTAAAAATTTTATATGCAGCAGATACTTTATGATACAAAGTGTCCCGAACAATCATTTCTGAACATCGTCTGATTATTTTTAACAGAAACTATACACAAAGAAGTACATAAAAATGAAAAATTATTTTTCATGCACGGGTTATAATGTTGTGACATAATTACCAAAAAGGTCTACTGCATCCTTCGCATGTGCACGTTACATGCATGGATAGAGAAATACTTTGATAATGTGATTCAGGTTCTTTGACATTCAACGTTTAGTTTCCTCTCGTTTTTCACTTCACGCCGGAAAAAGTCGCATATATCTTATATAATAGGGTAAATAAATGTAGAAATGAAACATATCTCAAATACATGTACTCATAATAACTAAAGATACTCACGACTTAATACAACGCGTATACCTATATGTAGTTACACTGATAATTTTTTTTATTGCATCCTGCACCGCCAACTTTTCGCAAGAAGGAGCAGGTAAAGACTGTGGCGATTATTGCTATTTTAAAATCATCGAGAAAAAAAAATTCAGATTTCAGACAGATCGAAATACATAACCAACATAACCCACAACGCAATGAGGAAGCATGCGTTGAAAGAAGATTCAACGTATTAACCGCTTTTGCAAGCGAGACTGATCATGGATAAGTTTCGGAAAGCTCAGACCTTTTCCTCAATTACATGCACTTACTTTTCTGTAGCGTCTCAGCTAGGGCAAGATGAACTATAAAAAGGCTCTAAATCATACCATAACTGATGTGGAATATTTTTTCTGACCCTGTACATATCTTTGTCTTGCGCTTATCAATATATATTATTATAGTTTTGGAGATTGCAGCGAAAAGTTTCTATTATAGCGTTTTATAGCGTAGTGTCTATTATGTTGTGTAGATTCCCCCTCGACAACAATACCGTAATGGTCTAGGGAGACCAAAATCTAGTGGTTAATGTCGACAATTTTTAGAAACATAGAATAGACGTATCAACGGAGTACAAGTACAATAATTAAGGCTGTTTTCCACTTCCACCGTATCGTAGCGAAACGTAGCGTATCTCATTGTTTTTTAAAAAGTCATTAGTTCTGGTCGAATACTTCGGAAACAAAGAAATACGCTACGTTACGTTACGATACGGTTGAAGTGGAAAACAGGCCTTAGGGAAAGGCAACACGCTCGGAAACTGGGGGATTCACATTTATGAAAATTCTAATATAAACTGGACAACCCAGTCTCTTCCTAAAATTGACTGTATATACTAATTGTGTTCTGCTGGGCAAATTGACTGTGAGAATCAATTTCAAGGACGCTTTACAATCTACCAGGCCTGGTTACGCTGGATTTATTTCACGCAAATATTTCGCAATTTTGCTCGTTCTCTGCAGCCATATTTCAGTAAAATTTGCATATCGAAGCGTCGGTGTTTGAAAATCATATATTAAACATGCAAATAGGCAATGACAAAGGTATGTGGGACTAGTTGTAAATGATATTGATTCCTTGGGATAAAAGCATTATGTCTATATATTCGTATAAAATCGCTCTGAGATTATGAAAATGTGGCATTTCTGGGGGGCTACATTTTGCTCAGCCCCCCATTTTATACATAAAATATTAAAGACAGAGTAAATTTATTTCACATTTTAGGCCCTGTTCACAAGGTACCTTATTAGCCGGTCACGACAACTTCGTTTGCCGTTATTAAGCAAATGTATTATTGTAAATTTATATGTGTAATGTGTGAGGCCTAATTGTGGGCCTCAATTTAATACTGTAAGACAAATTAAACTAATGAGAAGACATCTCTGAATATTTGAATAAATAAAGTTATTTAAAAATTTTATGACTTAAACATTTTATGCACTGTACAGTTTGTACTCAGTCTTCGACTACATTATTTACACTTTTACTGCCTGTACTAATTACTGTATTATATATTAATTGATATGTATTATATATTGATATCGATATATAATGCAGTAATTAGTACAGACAGTAGAAGCTGACCGCACGCGTAAACAATGTAGTCGAAGACTGTGTACAAAGTACTACAAACAGATTTCTGGGCAACCTATGGTTGTACAGTATGCTTCTTACACATGTGGAGGGGCATAATGCAAACAATTTAAACTGTATGGTACTTTTTGTTTGACAGTTAAGTGAGTTAACTAATTTACATGTATCCAAAGCTCACCTATCAACACACAAGACAGTCATTTCTGGCATGAATGCTTGATAAATAATTTTTGTGTTAACTATTATTATTATGTCATTATATTATTCTCATAACTATTTTAAAATTTTCTTCTGCACAGCTGCATGAGGAACTTATTTATAGTCTATATAGGTATTTGCACCATAGTGTATAGCATATTTTATAACTGCATGAATGCTTAATTATTTTAGAAGAATTTATCCATCAAAAAGCATTAACCAACCTGTGAAATATAATTGTATTTTTTAAAGTGATTTAAAGCTGCTTCAATGGTTAACCCTTTTAGTGATGTGATATTTGCTTCATGACATTAATAAACAGGCTTACATTTCAACTCAAATTTTTTATGTAAGCATGACAAAATTTCACTGCATGAGTTTACTTCTTTGAATAATCACCTATTCTGATTTAGTTATGATTTAATAAGCATACAGGTATTGTATCTACTACTTTAGTACTTATGACAATGTTAGCCAAAAAGAAGCAAAATATTTTGTTGATAATCCATAATGAAATCTTACTGATCAATATTTAATTTGTAAACATTCCCATCTGTTCCCTCCCAAGGAGATTTTGTACCCTGTATATAATGTAGTGTAGTCTATATCTAAACGACATTGTGAAATTCATAAGCAATTAATGAACTTACACATAAAAACTATTATTTTGGCAAATTTATGGGAATTTGGATCACATGAATACCTCTGTAAATGTTACAAACTACATGTATAGGGAGTGATTTGATTTCATACACATGAGTACCAGCAGTAATTGTAATAAGCCTGATAATCTGATGAAGAGTACTTATCTAATAGGGTATAAATTACAGCCAACATTCTCATTCGTGTAGTGTACATGACTATAATATTCCATTTTGTGCCTATCCAGTGACTGCTTATGTTGTAAATAATACTTCTTAATTTACAATGACCCAGTCTTTTAATTGCCTTTGTTTTTCCTCAATATTATTACTAGATGATGAAAAACAAGTTGTGAGTGCCACATCAGAAAAGTTTGTATGTTGTCACGTTTTAGTAAATTCAAAATATTTTGTTGTGTGGAAAAGTTTTAATATCTCATTTTTATATATCAAAATAATATACCCTAGTGTGATACAGTATGTTTTTAACAGTATGAAGGATATGTGATCAAGCAGTAAATATAGTAATATTTTTATTATTTTGTTATTATCTTCATGATGGGTTTGTATCATTAGTCACTGTAAATACTTGTACATATCTGACAGAAGTTGACAGCCTGAGAACAAAGCTGATCATTGACTTAAGGCCAGGGCCGTAGCTAGACCGCTTAACTGGAGGGCGTATATTCATATATTCATGTTTATCTACCCCAGAAACAATAGCGTACAAAAGAAATCAGTCGGGCATAAGATGAATTTATGAATATACACCCCCCAATTTAAGCTTCTAGCTACGGCCCTGCTTAAGGCTGGCTTGCATTATCACAGTTTCTGCAGGTAAGCACAGTTTCTGTGATCAAAGTACACTTTGATCCATGTATTTGACAATGTGAACACCTTCAAAGAGGGCAGTTGCTTTGAAGCTCTGTGATTCTGTGAACACAGACTTCTCACAGAGGCTAATTGATCACAGAAACATTGACAGTGCAAATCGGCCTTTACTTCGTGTTACATTGCAACCATATCTTCCACCCATTCATTTTATTCATTCCTGATTCTAGTCTGCGCTCTTCTCCCGAACTTAGGTAATTTCTATTTATGCTCACATTAAAATTGTCATTTTAAGCATCATTGATCGTATGTGTTTTTTAGACTACATCTCGTAAGAAAGTGTGCCAGAGTTGTTCAGCTGAGGTGGGCAATGCTTGTAAGCGTTGTTCAAACTGTGGTGAAGTTTTCCCGAAGCGCCTCTGTAACATTTCACTCCCTAAACATACAAGCACCACCAGTCAAAAAGAGCTTCTTATGAGGAGGGTTTGTATACAATACATATATATATATATATATATATATATATATATATATATATATATATATATATAATATATATATAGGTCAGGTATATATATAACGAGGTCAGGTAACTGAAAAAAGCCTATAATCAGGGATGCCGTAAAATGACGTAAATTGATGCCGCGACGATGCGAATCTGGTATGGCGAAAACAGGGCCGTAAGGTAACAATTGAACAACTAGCACCAGTTTTTGATGCTGATGCTGTTGTGCAATGTCGGCCAATTTAAGCGTGAGTAAAGACCCACACACACTGGACGCGATTGGCCAACGCGACGCGAGTTTTCTACTCAGTGTTAAAAACTGAGAAATTCCTACAGATCGCGTCGCGTTGGCGGATCGCGTTCGGTGTGTGTCGGCCTTAAGGCTTTGTGGCTCCAATGTAAACAGCAACGCAATTTTTATTGTACAGGCGTTGACACTTCACCAGAACCACGGATACCACGTAGTTGTCATGTATTGCCATCCATCTTCAACTGGTGGAAAGACTATGTGGGATTTTGCATCTACTCCTGGTTTTGGAGCAGACTTTATATCAGAGAAAAGTAAAACTGGAAAAGCAGCCCGGGAGTTGTTCAAACACGGTATGAAATCACTGTTTTCTAGACAGCGTGTCGAAGGCTCGTCGTCTGACCGTGAAACGCCTCAAACAAGTCGAAGCACGTCATCCACTGGCAAAAGCCCACCAATGCCTACGTCGTCTCCACCTACAACTCCCACCGAATCAATGTCAATTGCATCGTCTTCCGAAACATCATCCACAACCTGCATCTCAAAGGCTGGCGAAACCTCATCAAGCTCTCGTACAATTGTAACTCCTTCCTCGCCGTTGTCTTCAAAGTCTCTCACAAAATCCACCAGACCACCAAATGAGGCAACCAGACAACCAAATCAATCAACCAGACCACCCAACCAAACATCAAAACCATTAGATGAAACATCTGACTTACCAAATCAATCAACCCGGCCAATAACTCATACAACCAGACCGCCAAATCTAGTAGCGAAACCGTCTTCAACAACATTGAAAAGTTTATTTTCTGCAGGTAATATAAATCTTTGTTTTGCAACCTTGCTTATATAATTTATTACCTAGCTTGTTATATAATCTCAAAAGAGTTCACGATATTACCTATATATATATATATATATATATATATATATATATATATATATATATATATATATATATATATATATATATATATACACCCGTTTGCAAAAACGTTGGCCGCAGATAGATATATAGATAGATACTCGAAATCTACTTAGAATTGCGTATGTTGTGTAATATGATTGAAATCCCATGCAAATGTAATCATATGCAATTCTAATTAGACTTCGAGTATCTATATCTATCTATCTATCTGCGGCCAACGTTTTTGCAAACGGGTGTATATATATACATTTGTTTCTTTTCAGGTACGGTTGTGTCCTTGACTGACAATAAAGGCACATTTTGCGGTGAGGCATGTGTAACAGGTTTTAAGAGGGTGCACAATGTTGCAGTCCCACCAGGCCATTTGTCAGTTGTAATAACATCTTTGGTGGAAGGGATGGTTATCCCCCCTCCGTGTCCTAGTTCTTTTGATACCAGCAAGGTTGAAGTTGGCGAATTTCATGCTTGGCCACTATTGAGAATGCATTCCAAGCCTTAACCTTTATATTATTTGATTTTGTATTCCAAATTTAATAAACTTAGCTATTATATATCTCAAACAACTGTGAAAAAAAACTATTTCGGGGTGGCCCACAAGCAGAACGTTATAAAATGTGTAATTTCTTAACTTATATACAATTGGGGAATGTTGTGACAATATATATGAGATGCGAAAAGTACTTACGTACGCCTTCATCTATGCACGCTTATAACACTAGCTATAACCACGTGGAAGTTGAATTGGAAGTATATATATAGACGTTCCAAGGATGCAACGTGATAATGGTTTTAAAATGCATATAAAGTATAAAATAACCACGACTCATACATTGTGTTTTTTCCTTCTATATATTATAGAACAATGCTACTCCTGTTTTAAATTATTACATAAACCATATGACATGGTTTTTATTTATATAGTTTATGTTTAATGTATAAGTTCCTGAATAAGCGATGTTGAAATTCCTGTTCAACTTTGTTTCGGCAGATAATTTGCGAAAACTCCATAAAAACATAATTTTTAAAAGCTATGAAACAACAATTTCAATATAACAATTTTTTTATATTTCAAAACAACAATTTTTTATATTTATCGTCTATGCTACTGCTTCTATACATAATCTTAACTTTTTATATCGATAAACAAAATGAAAATAAAACTAAAATAAACTGTGCATGGTTGAAGGAAATGTCAGCTATCTGCATGAGTGACTTTCCAGTTGGTTCAATTCCAACTCACAGTTCTATAATTGAATTCTATTATTGTTGTTATAATAAATTATTATTATTAAAAAAATATACCAAAATAACGTTATAGGTTAAAAAGAATGAGGAAAAAGGATATTTTTGATTATTTTTCGTTACTTTAGCAAAAGGAAGAATTTGGTTACTTTGGTATTACAACCATGCATATAGACATAGGAGTTTAATGAAGACTGTTTTACAAGAATATGCCAGCAATTTCTCGTGAATATCTAAAATTTTCTTACATAATACCATGATTACCTCGTTTTTTACTTTTGTTCGCTAAAGACAATTTAGTCCCTATATCCCGCAAACATATGAAATTAATGTAATTTTCCCGAAGTTTCCCGAAATTTGACATTGTTTCGAAAAAACAATTTGTAACAAGAAATTTTTTATTTGAACTTTGACTAATTTTAATTTGACTATGTGTACGGACTGATTTAAAATTTATTATTAATATCTTAACTTTTAAGGACAATACCCTAACAACAATAGACGAAATCTGTGAGATCTCAGACTGTCTTGATTTTCCGGCATGAGATCGTTTTTTACACAAATATACGTGAGTCTCACGCCTAATCCGTGAGACTTGGCAACTATGTTAACTTGCCAATATTGGTATTACAAACTATATAGGTAATACCATAGTGAGTGCATAATTAGTGATTAAAGTTTCGATACCTTTTAACGAAAAAAAAGGTGATTCGGGTGTTCAACAAAAACGTGCGGTATCAAGCTATATTATGGATTGCAATGATTAATTTAAAATTTTCGTGTTACTTTTATCATATAGAAAGATCATTATTTCACATCGCCAAAATTAAAAACAAATGGGACATACATATATAAGGATCCTCACGTCCATAGCCAATCCAAAAGGATCAAAAGAAATAAAAATTTGAAAAAGTCGAGGTGATTCGGGTGTTAAAAACATGCCGCTTCAAAATGCTATAAGTTCCTTCCCATAAAAAATATCATGTGTTGCTTTCGTAATTGAGTTTTTAGTACTTTCTTTATATATCGCAAAGTGAACATTAAAGCGAAATTTTATAGTTAGTATCCAAAACCGTTAAATAAAACATATATACTCAGTCAATACAAAATCACTTACACTACACCTGAACATTACATCGGTATTTAGAAAGGAGAAATTTAAGAATAACCCTTCAATTTTGAACAAGTTTACGTTTTGTGGTTCTCGTGATCCAATAAAAAGGTTAACAATACTGAAACATAGATAATGGAATCAATGTAAATAATAGTAAACATCAAAATTACAACAACTAACCTACCAAATATAGTTAGTGTCACCATAATCCTAATACCCTAACCCTAACCCTAGAGCCTTGACCAGTATGAAAGACGAACAACGTGCTCACTAGTTGAAGTTACGTAGAAGTTCAACGAAGAATCTTTAATACACGTAGCGTAATGTTACTGTAAGATCGATTTTGTTCTGTGCAATTAGCCTAGCTTTCTCACGATGACGAATATGCCGCCATTTTTGGGGTTCTTTATAGCAACCGTGAGTGTATGGCTTCGTAACGACGACTGTCTTTAATTTTAGGCTGGAGTTATTCTTCAAATGGTCTGTTGATTTTAAAAAAAATGCTTTTCATGTTGGTATTATTTTTTAAACACATTTGAGAAAATTGAAAGTACCCCAAAAACGTCATCGTGAAGGCTAATAATCAAATCTAGAAAAAGTTTCCTAAGGAATACTTGACAAGAAAATTTTGTTGAGAAACGTTTTCTCGAAAACTTTTTATTATTTTGAGAAAATTTCTCTAGAGACTCTATGATTCTTATTTCATGCAAAACATGTTCTATTTCCTTAGGCCATAAGTATGATCAATGAAGAATGAAATATTTTTAAAATCTCTGCATTTGAAGTTTAGCCTAATTTCTATTGCAGAATTTCTTCAAATTTCTAATTTCTAAATTTTAGTAAAATTTTAATGAAACGATCTTGCTGCTTCCTTTTTCAGAATCTGAATTTATTATGTAGGTAAACTCGTTTGAAGGTCATGGCAACTTTCAAAATATACGGTATACGAAAATTATACTACAAACAAATGTGCTTGTTTATCCGATATTTCTCAGCGAACCTTTCAGAAGTACACTACAGCTCATTAACTATATACTTTTGCCAGGTTTATGCAAGAATGTGTTCCTTTCGCTCGTCACGAGGAAGGACGAAATGCAATACATATAACAGATATATACAAAAACAATTGTTATATAGGTGCTGTATATTTTAAATGTGATTGGTTCATTCGTAGTCACATGACTTTAAATAAATGTAATGTTTCCCAAACAAGTGAAAAATTGGTGCCCGCATATTGTCATAACATTTTGAAATGAAATTGTCGTGTAAGATGTATGTTTTTGTTCCTATATAACAAAACACTTAATGTTCGCTACACCTCGGGAAATAGTGAGTTTTGTTTTCCCTCGAGTCTAAATGTTTCCCTCGACATTCAGACTCTTGGGAAAACAAAACTCGTTATTTCCCTCCGGAGCATACATTAAGTGTATATTGTATTAGGTTTATGAAGGAGTATATTGCGAGACTATCGATTGATGGACGCCTAAAAAATCTTTCCTACAAGTGACTGCACTGCACGTAAAGTCTGTAATTTTTTTAAAAAAATGTTCTACTGATTTAAGTCATCATCACAAAACAACGATACTGCATTCCTAATATTAAATGACGCTTAATTACAGAACTGCGAGTTGGAATTGAACCAACTGGAAAGTCAAACAGACAGCTTGACATTTCGTTCTACCAGACACAGTTTGGCATTTATTGGTTGGAGTCTATATAGAAACTTTTTCTTGTCGGTCTGTTAAGATCTGGGATCATGATCCTGATCTGAACACCCCCAAGTTCTTTTATACATCGCTTTGGTTCATAACTGCAAGAGCTTTGGCAACTAAGAAAATAGCAAAAATGAAATGCTTTTAATTCTTCTAAGAGAAAAAGGAATTGTCATATATAGATGTTGTACAAATTTAGAGTTTTATTACTATTTATTTTTCGTATAATATATGATATTATGAATAAGGTATCTGAACTTCAATTTCAAAAACTCTTTAAAACTAAAATTATTCTAATTCATTATTGTCGTCACTTGACCAATCTTCTTCACTTTCATTGTAATATTCATCATCATCATCATCATCGCATTTATCATCAATTTCTTCCAGGCATGCCAGAGAAGTATCTAGATGTCGAAAATATTTCAAACCAACTGCAATCTGGCTTTTGGCAAAAGCTATTCCTTTGTTAGTAATAGCAAGTTGACCCTGCAATGTCTCGATTCTTTCGCAACGCAAGGAATAACACTTCCTATCACCCAATAAGTTCTACAACAACAGAAAATGTAAAATACGAAAAAAATTGGAGACTAACACTAAACCTCAGAAGACTACATGCCATTATGGTGCACACATATTAATACATTGTTATACCTCATTTTCATTTTGATATTTGTCATCAGGTTCATTGACGTCGTGAATAAAAGCTAAAAATACAAATTCAGGTGAAAACAGTGCTTTGCAAAGACCATTGGAAAAAAAATCAATGAAGGAATCAAAAATAGATTTCTAGCAATTTCTAGCAAGTTTATTGTCAAGATTTATACAATAACAGCTATTGCAAAAGTTCGGAAAATATCTGATAATTATACCTATCCGCTCATTAATGACTGCTTTTCTTTGATGAAGGTTGTCCAAAATATTCTTTAAATAGAACACGAGGAAGTTCTTCATTTCTTTTCTTATTTGATCCTCTTCTTCTTTTAGCCTTTGAACCAGCATGAACTTTTCTACTACTTGTGCTTTGTAGCGTACAGGAAGACCTATAGTATAGCAAAAAGTCTAAATCAATTTATATAGAGATTAAGAAAAAATTCTATTCTTTCGATAAAAATGTAGCCATGATACACTAGTAAATTCGCTATACTTTTCGTAGTTGCTGGTTCCTCACTAAACGACCAAAGAAAATCTCCCGCAAGAATAGCTTCAGCACTTGTTGCAGGCAGTTTCAGAAGGCTGTTAACTGAGTTTAACTCTTCTACTGTGGACGCTATTTCTGTTTTTTCCCTTGAGCATTTTGCTCGCATAGATGATCTCCTTTTACTAGAATCTAAAAGAAAGCCTTTATTTAACCAAATAAAATAAAGTACGCGGACCTAGTTATTAACTCCTAACGATGTGAGTGACCGAGATAAACATATTATATTAAAGTAACAATAAAATTGTTATATACACCAACCAGCAAGCGCCGAAATCTCCTTCATCCGCCTCGTAATGGAAAAGTACAGCATCTCCAATTTTCTCTGCAACCTGGACAATGTTACTTTCGCAAGTTCAACCTTCCCCCGAGCTAGAAGCTCCTCCTCTGTTACAGTGGAATTCAAAAGCTCGGACGACAAAACACGCAATCTTTCCATGTTCTTATTCAACTGCTTTGTTTTATCTGCAGCAAGTTGGTGAAATTCTTTATCCCCGATTAAAATCCGCGTCTGGTCATCGTTCCTACTTACAAACGTATTTAGTTGTTGAGCATTTTGTACCACATGATGTAAAAGGTAGAATTCTCCTAAATCCCCAACGTCAACATTTTTTCCTGCTTTTTGTTCTAAAGACGTGAAATCCATAAAGTATATACATTTTATCAATTCGTACGGTACAGTATATAATTTAACACGATCAATCATTAGTCGTACCAGTAGCAAACTGCTGAACATCTCTTTTCCATGACACAACTGAGGCATCCAAATCAGCGTCTGATAAATTAATCTCACGTGCATACGTAGCAAGTTCCGTTTTCGCATCGGCGAGTTTCTTTTCCGTCTACAGAAAGGCATTGAAAGAAAGACTAAACGAATGCTGAAAAGAACAACGCATAAGCTCAAGTATGCAACGAGCACGTTTTACACCACCTCGCATTTAAAGCGAAAATATATACTGTAATTAACCTTTTTCAGGCGAAGAACCAACAGCTTAGGTAGATTACAAATTTTTCGCTTATTCCAACTCAATAGATGCTCAGTGATGCAATCCTCGCGACCTGTAAAAGGAATGTATGGAATGTCAATGTTATACCGTTCATCTCCATTAAGATGCAGTGATGCACAATTATATACTATATTAACCTGATGCTATCATATTCTTGGTGGTGGATCCAAGTCTGGAGAGATAGCTGTTGATTTGTTCAACTTCCTCCCCAGGAGTTGCAGCAGCACCTTCTTGCCATCTTCCACTCCAAATAACCTATGTTAAATGCAATGAAAATTTGCTACACATTATGTCATGCCCCAAAATTTATATTGACGTTCTGTCCAAAAAAACTCTTGCCAAATTGAAAGAGAAATTTTTAAACGTTTCAAACCAATACAAAGACCAGAACGAATAATTTAGACCTAGTAAAAATACCTGACAGTTCCAACTGTGCGATTTTCCATGCATGAGTGACAAGGCTGGTTTTGTATCAGTTAATGCCATCTTGTTTTGCTCTGAAGTGACTCGCTTAGCCCATGGCCAGTACTTACATATCACATCTTCCCACAAGAACCTAACATTGTTTGGATGAACAAAGTTTAAATGTAGATAGTGAGCATAACCATAAACTTCTCCTCTAAACATATTCAAGGCGGCTTGACAAACAGAATGTCTGCAGCCAGCCACTACCAATCCAGTTTCATCTTGGTTCTTCTTCGCTTTCGACACAGCTTTTGCAGCTTTCCAATGCGTATCACCACAAGAACTATCTTCTTTCTAAACAAAAAAAGATTCCACCTAAATTTACCTATGTGAAGAACGAAAAAGAACAAAAATATCGGCCAACGACCAGTATTTTATACTGTAACCTTACCATATCTTTCTTCGTGATTTTGGAATTCAAGCTTCTTATGTGAGAATCTACTTTCGCATTTTCGACAATCAGATGGTCATTGTAATAAGAAGGACTTGTACCCCTAAATATTCAAATTTCCTGGGTGACATATAGCCAGTTAGTTTTATAATGTACGTAGTCTTACAAATGTCATGTTAGGAAAATATAAATCACACAAGTACATGAACTATTAGGGTGTGGTACCTTGATACTTTATCATATCTATAAACCTTGTGGTTGCCATCAATATGACAAGAGTGTTGGTCAACACTGCATGGTGGGCATTTTCTCCAATCCTGAAGTTGTAGCGAAGCCAGTTCAAATTGACAATAGCACCACTCTGCAAAGGCCTTCCGAAATGTTGCTGCAGTTATCACATCTGCCTTTAATACAAAGAAAAAAGACATTTGTATGCTCTGACCCTACTGAGTGCTAATTAAATACCATCCAACATATTTTATATGTACCCCATTGAATTTGTATGCACATGATTATCATCTTTTAGTGTGATCAGGCTATTTCTAATACATTCATAACTGCCATTATATACAGCACTCACCCTTTTTTTGGAACGAGACATGTCTTCCAAGCTTCTTATAAAAGCAGTTTGTGAGGAGCCTGGCATTTGCTTCCGGAAGGCATCCCAAAGAAGGAACAGCTCTTGATGAAACAAGTAGTTTACATTGGCAGGACTTCCTGGCCAAAAACCACTTTGAACTATACAGTCAAACGAAATTGGTGACCATTGCCAAGGACATGATGAACAGTGTATGTTAAACCAATTGAGGTCAAAACGACCTTAAATATGAAAAAAATCCATTAACTTTAACCGTTTACTTATACTCAATCTTAGCATATACTGTTAATGATTGACTGTGAATGTATAATTACATTATATTAATTATCTTAATATACACTCTACTGTATACTATAAACATCAGCACAGAAATAAAAAAAATAACAAAAAGAATTGGCACTAACATGTACGGCATTATTTTGTAATAAACTTATGACTAGGTTCAATTTTTGATAGCGTTAAAATACAATACCTTCAGATGTGATGAGTATAACTTTTGAGCTGTTCAATGTTTTCAAAGTAGATTCCCCGCACACCAAGCAAGATGTTGGGTAAAGAAGAGGACATGCACGACCTTAAATATAGTAAGAAAATTACAGCTTATCCCTTAGGTCCTTCCATTATAAATAAAAGCCTCTGAATTCCAAACTTCTCATTCAAATTTGGAAGTGCAGATTCCTGTATACCTCATATCCTTTTAAGTTATTTTATAGACAGTTGCTTGTAAACAGTTTGCAACCATATTGCACGGTACATTGCCTTTAAAAAATTATTAATTGAAAATAATTATTGACACATACCAACAGGAACAAGCTTTCCATCATCAGTTATTGACTCAGTTGGAAGAATGTATTGAAAATACCCATTAATCCAAACTTCACGATCATGAAGCGGCTGACACTGATGTACTTCTTCATCACAGTTGACACATAAATATTGAAAAACACCACACTGCTTACACCTCAATTGTGCATCATTGGGGCAATCAATTTTAGAGCAATGTAATGAGGAAGTGGGAGGGGCAAATGAACACAAAACACTGTGAAATATGGCTCCTCTAGCATTCTCCCAGTTTTCCTCAAGATTGTTTATTCGTTTTTGCCACACAGTGGTATTATCATTCATTTCACCAACAGCTTCCTCACACTGTTCAATGATTGCATCAAGGTCTATAAAATAATACATATACCATTTACAATTAATTCCAGTTGAAATGTTATTGTAGGTCACATACTGTTACTGTACAGTACCTTCAAACATGGAACACTCTAGGTTATTTAAGATGGTAGATCCAAAATTAATTTTACCTGTACCTTGCTCAAAAGTTTCAGAATGTTCATCTACTTTGTCAGTTAAGAGATCAACAGGTTCGTTCAATCTTGTGTATTCCACTATTTAGTTATAAAAGCTATACATTAAAGTGATTTAAAACTTGCATGCTTGTCTATTTAAATAAAATCGCAACTATATTACCTAGGAAAATTAATATCTTAAGGTAGACCACAAAAACCCATTAAACCACATCCTACAATCGCATACCCACATTATGTTTATACATAGGCTAATTTGTAATGATATTTCTAACCTCACTCTCTAGTTCCAATATGCTTTAATAACTTAAGGTAATAGTGAGATTAGCCATATATATGTTTATTTATTATTTATTTAAGGCAATACCACCCTAACCCACTGTAATTTTATAACTGATTTGAGGCTGATTTTAGTATAATGATTTGACTGTAGTGCAAGACTAATTATGGTAGTTGTAGTCCAAAACTAAACAGTAAAACCATTATACTTGTAAAATAAAATTCATACATCATTTTATTGGGCGAATATTTGGACGTATTTACAGCCTGGATTCCAGCAAAGCAGATGCAACATGCAGGCTTGGAAAAGGTTATCAAAAATTTGTATGGTTCGATCTACCTTCTAATATGAGAATATACAGTTAGAATATATAACTGCATAACACATGAACTGTGATTGAAGTGTTTACCTGACTCTGGATTGCTTTCGTTCACAGAGTCTGTCTCGACAAATCCTTCCTTGTTTGCAGTGATATTGCTGCCTATTAATAAGTGGTGTAAAACAGTAAAAGTCAAAGCTTAAATAACCTACAAAACTCCACAACACAAAAACTTTATTGACATTTCCACGTTTACCTCGTCTTGCCCAACTAGATTGCGACAATCGTCTTGGGTTGTGATATATTCGCTGGCCAGATTCGTCTCTTCTCAGCACGATGTCAATATCTTTATTTTTACTTGAGTGGTCAGGTCGAGTCTTTCTACTTTTAGAAGACTCTGCACCTGTAATGGTGTTAATTTCATCAATTATCGAGTCTAGATGTTCATCTTCATTCTTTTTGCGTTTTCCAGCAGATTTACGAGACATGATAGCATAAAAATTAGGCGATATTCAAAGAATACAACATACTGTAAGAAATGCAATGTTGTGTTTAGTTAATTAACCTGCGAACAGGCGATTAGCGAACAGGCAGCGTAACCAGGCCTGGTAGATTGTAAAGCGTCCTTGAAATTGATTCTCACAGTCAATTTGCCCAGCAGAACACAATTAGTATATACAGTCAATTTTAGGAAGAGACTGGGTTGAACTGGAAGCACAGTAGTCACTGAATGCCCGACCAGTGCCCGACCATGCCCGACACCTTACGGCTGCAAACCGATTACTCCCGAATACAAAATATTGGTAAATTTACTGATTATATACTGTAATACTGTCTTGTGTGCACTTTAAATCGTATTTTATCTGCCAAATGGTTTAAAATGAGCTCTGAATTAACTTTGGACGAGTTTGATGGCTCCCACTGTATCAATCGTGTCGTTTCGTTTGGTGGAAATGCAGCAGTTGCAGGTGAAATACGTCCGACTATATCAATAAACCCCTTATTTAGTATTTAATAATAAAAATCTATTATATAAGACATCAATCCTATATGAAAATCCCTAATTAATTTACAGTAACAAAGCCTACTGATAATTTAATATTTTGTGTTTTGCAACGTGCATAATCCCTAGCCAAATCACAATTACACCACCATAAAATGATTGACAGTTCAGAGTTAAGAAGTTGTTAAAAATCTATGGTTAACACAACTATTTTTACAGTTTTAACACTTGTGTATTCACTAACCAAAACATCTGCTAAGAGAGAGTGGGTTTAATCCTTTCAAATGCATGGGATTAACTTTAGGTGGTGAATAATTGAAAGCAGTGTCTCTGGAAGAAGTGACTAAACTATTTTGCTTAGGAAATTAAGTTTAAAAAACATGGCCAAACTTGCATACAAAATGGATCCTCACAGTTGCATGCATCAGCGATTACTTGTCAATCAGTGGCGAAAAATATTTTGCATTTATTCCATCACCATAGGAGCTCTATATGGTAGCGTTGCCGCAGCTTTTATGACGCCTGCTCCACATCCCAAACCAAATATAATTCAAGCAATGGGACTTGTTAGCAGATACACTTTGCTCATAGGTAAGTTTACATAGTATTCCAATATTGTATAACACAATGGCAGTTCCTTAAGGCATTAACAAAAATTAAACCAGTTTAGTACATGACATTCAGTGAAATTTTCTCTCAAGGTTTGATGGGACCAAGATGTGACCAAGTGGATTAGAGCATTCTGGCTCACATAAACCTGAGTGCTTATGAATATATATTAAAAGAATAGACTTGCAGTGCAAACAGACCTTATTGGACATTTGAGTGATTCTCTGGTCACATACATCACATCAATTGCTGTTTTTTCAGGCTTCATATTTTGCATGTAACAAAATAAAATAGCATTGTCACATGATTGTGTGGCCAGAGAATCACCCATTTTGAAATAGATCCTATTTCCTGTATTATCTCTTGCAGGTAGTGCAGGTGCGGTATTTGCAGGTTCAACATGTGCATTGGCTTCAATACGAGATAAAGATGATTATAAAAATTGGGCTTTTGGTGGAGCAGTAGCTGGTTCAATATTTGGTATACAAGGTTAGCTATTTATTAACACTGAAATATATTGACATTTTATGAGTACAGGTATTAATTGTCTTTACATAGAGTTGCCCACTTTTTATTTATATGTGACATTGGGGCACTAGTATGTAGTTTGAGAAGACCAATTTCTTGTCTCTATTCATGTGTATTTTAGATAAAACACATTTTTGCCCATCTCATAAGTCATAACCTCTCTCAGGTTCAGTGAGCAGTGTGTCAGTTTCAACACTGTGCAATGTGTTTCAACACTGAGCAATGTCAGTTTCAATGAGCAATGTCAGTTTCAACAATGAGCAATATCAGTTTCAACACTGAGCAATGTCAAGTTTCAACACTGAGCAATGTCAGTTTCAACACTGAGCAATGTCAGTTTCAACACTGAGCAATGTCAGTTTCAACACTGAGCAATGTCAAGTTTCAACACTGAGCAATGTCAGTTTCAACACTGAGCAGTGTGTTTCAACACTGAGCAATGTCAGTTTCAACACTGAGCAGTGTATTTCAACACTGAGCAGTGTGTCTCAGCCTCAGGGCTGAGCAGTGTGTTTACCTTGTTTTTCTTTTCAGCACGAAGAATACCGGTTGGACTTGGCTGTTCACTGGCATTAGCTGGTCTAGGGGCACTTGTTAAATATACCGAAGTATACAAAGATCCACTCCCGCGCCGAGAGATGCCTTGAAAGGCTCGAATTACTGGGCTTTCTTTGCCGCTGATGTCTGAAAGTGAATCGTTGCAATTTATTGCACAAATAATATTATAAACGTGGCTTTGGCCAAGGCTAAATTTGTAAAGGCGAAGAAAGAGATTCTTGTTATAAAAATAAATTATCTTTTTATTTACTGTGGATTTTACTTGTATCAAGCTGTAAAATACACTTTTCACTATTATTTATACACAAGGGATTGTTTGAGGGTAGTTTTATTACATTATATATTATCATTAAATGCATGCATCTCGGCCAAACCAAAGGAAAAAGACGGCTGGGACCACGGTGTGAACTTTTCGTTTCCAATTGCCCCATTGCATCGATATAGCGGCTGTTGAATTATATGTCACGTTGTTTGCCAATCACAAAAGGGGTGTTGACTGTTGAGGCGAGCGCGGAGGGGACAGCGCAGTTGCGCCGGGATCAGGAGCAAACAGGGGTCTCACCTAATTTGCTGTGTTGGAGGACGAAACTAAGCTTATTACAATAGATAAGTATAAGACCAACTGACTAATATAAGAGTCAAAAAGGGCTTTTAATTATTGCCTCTGAAGATGTCGTTCCAGTAATGCAGAAATGTCGCAAACGGGCCCTTTTTCCTAGATTGCAGGTGAAACGAGAAGGAGTCTGAAGGACTGTATTTCCACAATCCAGGACGGTTCCTTAGCTTTCTATTCAGTACTATAGGATTGATCTGGAAGTCGATGCGACTCCGAGATCGATCTTTCATGTCACTAACCCTGCCTAACAGAGCTTAATTTCGCAAAAATATAGAGCTATATTTACAATGTCAGTAGGTACTGGGATTTTTTTAAATAGATCTTGGTTCCAAATCATTGTACTGAAGATGGTGGCTGAAATATATTGGGTTAACCTTTCATGTTTCATACCGCTCTAAAGCTCTTTATACTTCATTAATCTTGTAATTCTAGTTACAGTAGATCACTTTAGACTTTAGTAATGATAAAACTACCTTCAAGAGCATATGACTGGCGGGAAAAACGAGAGAAGAAAGTTGTATTAGATCGGATACCCAGTAACTGCGTAGTGATTTTTAATAGTGATTTCAGTTTTCAACCGTGCTTGAACATGCAGCGATAAAATTTTAGCCTTTGGAACCAACAATTGTTAAAGAGGATCCTTAATTTAGGAAATACTAAGATTTAATCAAAGTTGCACCCAACAACAGGCGACTTTAAAGGGACTTGGAAAAAAACACTATTTGTGGATAGCGCTATCCGGCTGTCATACAACCGGCCCCAGATCGATCGACCTGAACCACCAATGACAATAGCCCCGATTACGCCCCATTTCATTTGTGCTCGGCCTTTGTTTTAGTAGCCTGATTTACTGCCTGAACACTGAAAAAATTGGGTACGGGTACCAATTTTAGCCGTGCCGTGCCAATAAATCGTGTGTAGTGTAAACGGGGCTAATGTGTACAGGTTCCAGTTTGCTTCACAGTAAATCTGATACGAAAATCAATTTTGCAAGGTCAAGAAAAAATCATTAAAATTTAAATCCTACAGCTGATGAAACATTATGGAACTATACCACCTAGATGAATAAGCAAAAGCGTTGGCCAATAGTAGCCTGCCAGCAATAACAGGTCAAAAATACGCAAAAATAATGACGTCATTTCTGATAAATAAATGTATATAAACAAGCGATATAATATCTTGTTCATATCCAAACTCTTTTAAATTTTCAAACCGTATAAAAACTGTTCTATCTTAATTGTATGACGAAAATTGTATATTTCTAGTATGGATTCTCGACGAAATACATTTTTTCTACTTCTGTGTATAAATTGTCTCCTTTGGAACCTAAAATTCGTAGTCGGTGAGTATATTACTATTGAGACTTCAAGGCAATGATGGAGCGTTGCAACTAATAAATAATAAAGTGTCTTAAAAAGCGTCCTCATTTGATGAGAAAAAGTCAACCAACCTGTTCAATAATATAGTATAGAAAATTAGTCGTAGCTACTTTCATCCGTTTCTGGCAAACTCTGAGGGAATGTGCAATGCATTATAAACTGTAGCTATATATTATGTGTTCATCATTTTCAAGCTGCTACACTACACTACACTACAGCAAATATTGTTGAACATGGTGCGATAATTGAACGTAATGTACGAGTCAAGAAGTTTTGAAATACCCTATGGACTATGGATAATCCTCACAGACACAGGCGTAGCTTGATATTTTATTGGGCTCGATCGCTATTAACAACTTAGTCTTCTGACAACACTTAAGTCTATTTATTTAGTCAGCTGTCTTACTGAAATGGCAGACATTATACGAAATTGCACACAAAAAGAAGGGATTTCCTATACCAGTTTAATCCTTAAGCAATGAAATATAGCACCCAATGATCAGTTGAAATGTTCCCAGAAAGGCTAGACATAAGAAGTTGCTATTTATGCTCCTAATGGCATCACAATAAAGGTTTACATACGTATATACTGTATGTTTATATATTAGTCTGGCTTCCATGAGTTCCATCCCACCCATACAGAATCCAGTGAGTCCGTCTATATTGCTGAGACCTTGCTTATAAGTGATAAACTTCCCTACAGGTTATTTGGCAATAGCAATCCCAAAGTATACCGGCTGTAAACTAAATATTTCTTGCTTTACAATTGCGAGCATTTATTGAAATATGTCCTAACAAAATTAAAGCAAGTCCTATAGTAACACTAACTTACTAAGTAGGTTTAATGCTGCAAAATTTAAATTTAAGACAAAAACTAATATGGGACAATTTAGGAAAACAAACCTTTAAAACCTGACTATTAAGATCAACCTACCTTACTGCCTATTAAGACCAGAATGTTTATAATCTATAACTCTCACAAATCATCAGGGTCTTAGCATACAGTTTGCATATGAACTGTTTTGTTATCAGTTTACATTAAAAATCTGCAAATTATATTTCCAATTGCAAAGATTTAAGCTCAATTTATATACATGCACAGCTCAATTGCATAAAGAGCTATTCTGCAATATTTAATGGGCCTCTATGGTTTTAGTTGTTGGACAATGCCATACATGAACATAAAAATCAATGGATGTATATAATTAGCAAAATCATAATTGTGATTTTGTGATTGATCCCCTTTCGTAATTTTTACCATTTTACACTATAACCTGCAGTTTTGTACATAATATTAATGCCATGCAGTGACATTCACACATTGTGCTAAACTCCCTGCAGAGGTTCACAGGAGTCACAACGTACTACTTGGGTCACTTTTTTTATCTATCCCTTATATAAAAGTTTAAAAAAATACATCTTGGGAAATAAACTCATTAAAGTAGCAGTGAAGTCTATTCTTATCTTCAGTTATGCTCATAACATTTTGATTTAAAAATTGCCCATTATATTGTAAATGTTTTGCCAATTTTATTTTTTCCTGAACATAAAGTGTAGTTCATAGTAATTTGAAGGTGGAGCAAACCTAAATGGTAATAGATATTTAAAAAATACACATACAGTGAGTACATTGTATTTCAAAAAGTATGGAAGTTCAAAATGTATTAAACAAACCGTTTGTTTATACACATACGAGTTTGATTTTCACTTTAATATTGTACGCAGAAGATACAAAATATTCTATAGTCGTACGTCCTGCCTAAAACAGTAAATGAAACCAGGTGCTGACTGCTGAGGCTGTAGATTTGTATCAATTTGACTATCAACCAATATAAAATACGCGCAATCGCCACGCATAATTGGTTTATAATATAGCTAAATCCCATAATTTAAACAGCAGCAAATTCACAAAAAGTTTTGACTAGGATGCTTAATAAATTTCCAATATTTGGATTGTTTTTTATATGCAAAACTAAATTTCAACAATCAACGCCTACTTTATTTCATAAGGGCTTTTGTCTGCTTTACTTACCACGATGAAATATTTGCATTCTATATCTTGTTACTTTGCCTTGTCTTAACTTATTATAACTGCATATTTCGGAAGTGTTTTTTAAATTTCTTGCATCGTGTATTCGTGTTGACCATTGACGAAAATAGTCGGCCATTTTGTTTAAAGGACTAACTGTCAGTCATTGGTTAATACATATACTGTACCCTGAGCAGTTCAACCAATCAGATTTCAGAAAACTCATATAAAGGGAAATGTAGATATTTTACCTCGATCACCTGGGTAAAGTTTTCATCTACTTTTGAATTTAATACGCAATTCTGATGGATTAACAATGCACCAACCAAATCTCAATAATAGAAGTCTCCCATAATACGTCAAACGCAGTCTGATGTTACACAAAGTTTGATTGGCTTCGCAAAACGTGCAGTGGTGCCTGTGCCCCCCCTATTTTTAAAGCACTTGAGATTATCTTAATCGATGTGTTGATGATTGTACGAAATATTACTTGTGCTTAGAAATCTTTTAAAAGTCATTTCAGAGAGGTACAGCGCTCGTGAAGAAATATAGCTAATTAATATTAGAGGGGGGCATCAGTACCCCGGTGTCTCTCTTCATACATTTATTGGATAAACTTTATGGTATTCTATACGTTTATCAGCTCATAGCCTCATTGTATAGTGGCTTGGCTCTGTGTAAAAGCGATATTCGACAGTGCTTTTGTTTTCATGTTGTTCTAAAGGTTCTGATAGAGTTCAAATCCGTAACGTCGAAGTATTAACCCTGTATCAAGGTAAAATGACCACGGGAAGAAGAAGCACTCCCGTTCTTCAGTTGAGATGCTCTGGTGGATCTGCGGGTTGTTCTGCTTTTGTCCCACAAGTTGTGCAGTGTTACAACAGAGGCTGGGATGGCTATGACGCCCAGGTATTGTAACCCCATGCATAGTCTCTTGCAATATCATATTACTTATGTCATTGTTTCATTTTAGTGGGAATGTAAGACAGACATGGATAGCAAGTACAGATTCGGCAAGATTGACGTGAACTGTGAGGGATATGATTATCCGGATGATCCCTATATTCTTCGAGGATCGTGTGGGGTATGTTAACTAATTTCATCCAGTATACATGTTCTCATAAATTAGAGTATGGCATAACACAGTATACTTCGGTGTGGTAAGGTTTGGTGTGGTTGTTATATTGGTATATGTGGACTTATGATATAGTTTGATATACCATATGGTATCGCAGGGTATAGCACGACGCAGTCTGTAAAAAATGCAAATGTAACCTCAGTAATTTCGTGCATTAAATAAATATTTTTTTGCAGTTGGAATATACTATCGAATTAACGGAAGAGGGGAATGCTAAAAAACAAGGATGGTCAAATTATCACGGATACGACAATTATCAAGGTGGATATCGTAAAAGGTGCGTCTTTTTGCTTTTACTCTTCATAAACATGCAAACTAAAGTTCCCCACTCGGCATCATGTTACTATATACTCCGGTAGGTATAACAGTTCCAGTGGTTTCGGTGAACTGGTCATGTTCATTGCTATTGCCGTCATTTTCTACATGGTTTTCAAGACATGTACATCTAATCCACATATATATCCTTTTGTGTGTATTTGAATGAGTATTCTGCCTGCAGAATTGCTTGGTGCCTGCAAAACTGCCTGTTAAATTCGCTCGCAGGTTAAGTGTGCAAAAAAATTTCCCAACATTTAAACTGATAGAACTAGTTCAAAAAAGTGGGGTACCAGTATGAATACAGTGTAAACACTAGAAGCTTTTTCCGAGGTGTGGCCGTTCGCAGTATTTATAGAAAGAACGGACTCGATACTCGAAAAATCATCTCATATGGTGTATATTCTACGTCAATGCTGTTGAGCCCTTTGAATGATGAGTTTTGCTACTGTACGTACTGTTTTGCTAAAACGCATTGCTACATTCATGTACACTAATTTAAAAAATCGATTAACCATGGTTCAAGATTTTTAAATTTATTTTCTACCTAGAATTAAAAGTATTTTGAAACCCTTTATTGGAAAGGCTGAACTAACTAATACCGTTAACTTGTTTAAGTTGAGCTTGTTCATCATTGAGGCTGAAAGTAGCAGTAGGACTATTATCCCGGCCTGCCTTTCCAAGATTTTCTTCCGTTATTGGAGTTGATAAATATAACAATGTCACTATATTCTCTCCCTAACCGCTGCGCACAGATACAGAGGCAACTGCTCCTCCTTATAACCAGGATCCGAACAACATGGGAAGGCCAGGTGAGGTTATACATTTCAATTCTATTGTCATCATGAAGAATATCATCCTGGTTGGAAATGATAAGTCCGTGAAGTGACCTTTTAACATTACATATCTCATGACAATACGGCACCCGTAAAAAAATTAAAACTAAGTTAAAGTTCCATCAAATTACAGCCTTGGGGAATGCTTTTACAGCCCTAAATTTATATGTTTATAACAACGCATATAAACACCGATGTTTTACGGCCCACTTAAAAAATCGTTAAACTTGCATGAGGAATAGACCATTTCAGCTTGCATGCAAATTAACCCATTTCAGATGTTGTGACCATTGAATAGCCATTTCAGACCATGTAATTTGAGATGGGTTAATTTGCATATTATACAAGCTGTAAAGGTCTATTCGCTTTAAAAAGTGATCAAGCCAAAGCAATGAACTTTGTCCTTTTTCGATCAAATCGAATTTGATGGAAAACCGTGAAACTAATGTCTCAATTAAAAGTAGGAAAATGTCTTCAGAATTCGAACCCGGCCATGTTAGACTTGTCTGTCGGGTATGCCTTTTACCATGCATGCACGGACGCATATTATTGTCAAGAATAAGGATTAGGAGTACTTTACTGCATATTAATGGTAATATTTCATGCCAGGTCCAAGTGCCCCGCCGCCACCTTATGGACCAGACCCTCCCGGCTTTAAGCGAGAATATACACAAGGTATATACATTTCCGTACTAGAGGTATCACGCGCAAATTAGGGAGCCTTTTTGTGTAATAATACGTAAAATAGTTTGAGTGTGGCTTTTGAGAGATTTTCAATCTGATTGAACTAAGCAGTTCATATGTAGGAAGCAATTAATATCATGAGAAAAATGTTCAAGAGCGTATAGACTGTATATTCTTTTCGTATACTAGGTCACACAGCCCCGCCTCCATATCAGGAACCTGGATACCGTAACGAGTACACACAAGGTTTGTGAGATTTGAATTTATTGCGGGCTAATCATAGTCAATTGCTCCGTACCGCTCGCCACGGACAGAGAAAATTGCAAGTAATTGCTTTAGTTATTAAAACATCAATATCTAGTATTGAAAGAAACTCTTTGATGAAAGAAATATACAAATTCAATCAACCCTTCTTGCATTGACTTTCAGTTAGTATTCACGCATAGCATAAATTATATATTTATTATTCTAATTTATTTTTTGCCTTGCAAAAAAGGTGCCGCTGGAAGTACAACAACTGGATCTGCTACGAACTCAAATGCTGGATTTTGGACCGGTAGGTTTCGTATGGTTCAAGTCCGAAAGTTTGTATCACAACAAGCAGTAAAAATTCTCTGCAATTAATTCACATTCACGCCAATTCCGCAGTTCAATTGTTATTACTGTCAACTTAGTTTGAGTAATTCTGATAGTAAAATAGTGGAATTTCAACTTCTCCCGATTATAATAAACTTAATTTATTACGCTTTATCTCTTGTGTGTCAATTTTGCATGTAGGTGCTGCTACTGGAGGTCTGCTTGGATACTTGTTCGGCGGGTAAGTAGTACAACAAACTTCATCCGACGCTGTGTAGTCGTTCTACATATTTATAAGGTCCCTATTGTAACTGCAATGAAACCTATCAAAGAGGGACAAAAGCTTGTGTGCAGCGTTTTGTCTTCTCTCGAAAATGTTTACATGGTGCTGAAAATCGTAGATTTTCACAATTCACAAAATAGCTCAAAGCTAGTGTGGATATTCCAGAAAAATCTTAGCGATATTTAACGGTGAAATGACCCCCAGGTATGTAGGAGTGATACACCTCTTGGTAGTCACTACGAAATAGAAGACTGATTCAATCCTTTTTCCCTTTTCTAGACGAACGAGAACAGGCTACCATTACAATCCCTATAACAACAGAGGATGGGGTGGGGATTGGGGCGGTGGCTGGGGATCATCCTATCAGTATTCACCTCGAAATTCAGGCGGATTTTTTGGGAATTGGTTCGGAGGAAGCGGATCTTATCGACCTTCCCATAATTCCTATGGTTTCTCGTCTTTTGGCGGCTCGTCGTCATCGTCATCGTCATCGTCACCAAGCAGTGGATCTCGGACCACTTCAGGCAAGTAAACTTTTTGTAAAAATGCATTGAGTGGAGAAATGGAGTTTCTCTCGAGATCATATATGAGTGCGATAGCCGTTGCCCATTGTGCGACAGATTCGTACGTATACTGCCTCCTGAGTTAAGGCTCATTATATTTTATGTCGTAGAGTCCCCCTGCATGTTTGGCTTAATAAGTCTAAAATACTGATAAACGAAATGGATGTTGGGGATATTTATACTAATATAGACCTTGCTTTTCTCTGGACATTTTATTGCTGGATTTTTAAATCAATTCGACTGCTTGTAAAAGTGGTTGGTTTTTTACCCTGCAGATTATTTTCACACGATCTGCGGATTAACTAACAAAATAAATTACGACTTACCGACCTAATTCAGTTTCTCTATATTTTAATTTGAATTTCGTGTTTTGGCGCTTTTTGAAGTAGTTTTGAATTTGAAACGCAGTTTAAAAAAATATAATAAATCATTACAAAATTATGCAGTCTATTCCAAGTAATCTTATACAAAGAACTAATTAATAGTTGGTTTTGAACAGAGTCTTACAGAGAATATAGTTTTTATGAGGCTTGCATGTGCGTATAATAAGTCATAATTTCATAAAGACTATACATGCATGGGTTACAATTAAGAAAGAGATTCTTCGATTTTTTCTTTTCTTTCTCCGAGAAGTTTCTAATTCATCCACATGTCGCTCTGGCTTCTTCTTTTGCATGTGCTTTATCGGGTGAAAATCCATCAGTTCCTTTAGCATCTTTGCATCTCCATGTATACTAGCCGGTTTTTTCATCACGTGTGAGTTCGTACGGGCGTCTGAATAACCAGCTTGATGACGGACGAGGGAATTCTAATTGAATAGGGAAAAGATAGCTTGGCACGTGATTTTGAGCAACAATGAAATGAGTAGCCGTATACCGACTTTTATCCATGCATGCTCGGGTTACCAACGAAACTAATTAATATTAGCATGATTTAATGCGCGAACAGTTGTCACTTCAATTACTAAACCTACAGTTGGCCGGGCGTATTCTGGTGACTAGTTGCGAACTTTATATAGACCTATGTATGCATTGAAAATTAATATTGAAACTAGGGCGAAACGAGACACTGCTGTATATCTTATACATATCGTACAGCCACTGTAAACATGCATTTACATAGCTATAAAAAAGCTTTAATCTTAATAGGATGAACCTTACCAACTAAACTGAGCAAAAGAAACAATAGGATCAGTGTGGTCGATGTCCTTGCCATACCAGTTGCGTTTACTCTCACTCGACAATGAAACGTCTTCGAACGACTATAATACGTATTATACTATTTCGCCTGTAAAATTTGCCCTTTTTATGCTACTGCCATACGTCATAGCCTACCTTGAGATATTTCCTATCGTCGAAATTAAGAGGGCGTTCCGTGTATGATAGGCTTCTCAAAACAAGTGCAGAAATCCGAAATAAGTTTCCGCAGGCGCAGGTAACCGAAAAGAAAAAGAGGTAAATGCACGAGATGCCGGCTAAACTTTCTTCCTGCAAATGGTCTTATCTTTAGCCGTATGCATGAGAATGTTCATATTATAGTTTACATTTTATTTGGAAACATCGTCCAAAACGCATGAGTAAAATGTATTTATTTCTATATTTATTTCTACTGGTTTACTTATATTTGACACAACCGTATATAACTAGTATATAGACAATAACACTTCCGAGCACTTTGATGTTACTCGGCATTTTTTTGTAACTATAGTTCTGCATTATAGCTGAAAGCATTATTAGTAAAACGTTTTTGATCTGTCGTGTAGTAAAAAGCTATTATAGCGTTTTAGCTTTTTTTCTCCTTTAGTTTACCTCTCAGAACTGTCATGTGTTCAAAACGTTCATTAAAGTGCATTTATTAAATTTTTCTCACCTTTCCTTCCTGTACGAAACATTACAGCTGCAGTATTGGCTGCCTCCCGTTTTCTTTGGATGCGATATCTCTCATGACGTAAATATTGTCTTCTGTCGATTCATTTTCCGTTTTTTGTTTACATATGACATGGGTGTGACTTATTATTAATTTCCTTATTGAAGAAGAATTCTGAGGTTCTTTCTTTTGAGAAGGAATTCATGCCCAGAAGTATAAAGAAATTAGATTATTAATTCCCTATTTACACCACAGTCGATTTATTGGCACAACACGGCTAAATCTGGTACCCGTATTAAATGTTATCCGCGTAATCAGGCTATATATTATACCAATAGAATTAAAGTCCGAGCAAGGATGAACTGGTCCACACAGGCACCCATTTTAGCCGTGCTGTGCCAGTAAACTGAGTGTAGTGTTAACGGAGCTATATAGGGCCACAGGTTTGTCAGTATAGCTTTGCTGACTGTTATATGTGTTTAAAATCCTGTTTAAATAAAATCCATCATCATTAGCTAAATTCATTTGCCGTGTTAGTCTCAAGCTTGACTAGCTCTCATCTGAGTTTAATTTCAACCCATCTGCATTTTTCTTTATTATGTGTTATTATACAATTCTCTCTAGCTTTAGGCAGTGAATCCCTCTCTACTGTTGAGAGATTAAATTTATAACATATTTCGGTTTATATCCATAAAGCACTTTTAAACTACGTTTTAATTTATACTGCACCCAGTATAGATTTTAGATCCAATTCATATATACATCCGGCATATACAGGTAAAAACACCCGAAATCCACAATTTTTTCAATAAAATGTAACATAATGAATGCTCAATGTTCATCGCGTCTTTTTATTTTTATATTTAGGAATGGGTGGAACCTCAAGGCGATGACTCATTAAAAATATTTGTTATATCAGTTATATATATATGCTAGTTTGTAGATACAGCACGAAAATTTGCACTGATGGAGAATCAGGGTATATTGCCTTTATATATGTTGTCTTTTTCATGTTGCCTATTGCTTGACGTTTTTAGCTAAATAATACAAGGTGCGTGATGTATGAATATCATACTTCCATGTGTGTGCAGTCTGCAACGTCCGATTTGTTGCGGAATTTAGGTTAAAGCATGGTTGAGTACACCAATCATAATCACGCGTATGCGCAAATATATAGTGTTATGGTTATAAATTGTATATGTATTGTTAAAGAAATTGTTAAGTAATGTTAATAGTGTAGTATTATATAGCATAGGAAATGGAGGTTTTGAGGTAGCACGTTGTAGCAACCGCGAAACTAATGTCCCACATAATAACGTAAGCGGACGCAAGTGTGGGTTGTAGTGGAGCGAAAACCAAAGAAAAACATCCTGTAGTTCCGTAAGAGATGCATCAGGAAATGCATCATTTTGGTAAAGCATCCTATTTTGTTATTTTAAATATATAGGTTAAAATCACTGTTGTAAGTTACGGTTGTGTATTAGAGCGTGAATTGTTGTGAATTCAATTCCCAAATCGTACTATTTTTGATCATTAATCACATCATTTATAAGCCAAAAAGATTGAAGTGTAAGTGAAACTATCCGATCAAATTACAGGAGAAAATGGCACAAAATTTTAATATTTTGTCTTTGAATTTTCAAATGCCCCGCAAAATTTCTTGACAAAAATAGATGAAAATTACTCGCATTTTACACTGTTACGGTATTTTCAGCCAATAAATCGTTTTGAATTTGTTTAATTTTTTGTACAATTTCAAAATGAATTTAATAAAGTGGAAATTGCACTTCGTGTCGTGCAATTGTGGTGTGAAATCAAACTTGTAAAGTGGTTTTTTTTTTAAATGAAATTGTTGTGCAACAGGAATTTTAGCCCTCCGAAACATGAATCTGGAATCTTCTTTTTAAACATCTCTAAGTTCTCACGACTAATGATGATACGGACATTTCAGTTCTGCAATTTTTGTTTTCTCCTTATGCTCAGCCGAACGAATAAGTACATTTGAGAGTCGATTTCAGTCATTATAAAGCATGTCATAAGGATAACCAAGACCATTCTTCACAGTATACATCTTCATGCCACTCTAGGGAGTTCCAATTTCACTGCCGGAAGTTAGTGGGGTTAGTCCGAATAAGTTATATAGGGAGTTATAAGGTAAGTCCGAATTTGTTATATAGAAACAAAAACATACATGTTACACCAGACTTTATTACAACCGCGTACCCATGGCCTTCTCGTAGGGGGAGGACGCTGCCCACGTGACTTCAAAGTTTTTGGAGTATTCGGTCAACTGCAGGCTGCTTCATTTACTGTTCGGAGTACTCCAGATTTCAGGAGCAGTAATGGAGTGGAACAGAATACTGTCACGTGAAAGTTCGGAACTGTTCTGATTACCTTAGGGGCAATCTTACTTAGGGGCAGTTAGAACATAACACGTGACACGTACAATTTTCACATGTTTCAAAGTGATGATAACAGATAATGTGTTCAACCGTGTGATGTTATGTTTGTCTTAAGACTTTATCGTCATCCATAGACATATGTCTATTTTCAGGAATGTGATGGCTATAGTTGTGAGAGATTCAATGTGTAAAAGTGTCTAAAAAGTGCATTTAGACATGAAAATACATGAAATCATTATACTGTGTATTATGCGAACAATTATAAAACGCATCGTTGAACGCATATAAAATAGACTGAACACTGTTCCAGAACAATACGCGCATCCATTACACACACTTCTCGCACAGTGTTCTGAATTATCCAGAACAGTAAATGGAGCAACCCTCTAGTACCTGAATATTGAATACTCAAAATAATTTGGAGTCACGTGGGCAGCCTTTCCCAGGGCCTTCTCCTCCCCCCTACGAAGCCCTGGGTACGAAGATGCGACTTTATTAATGCTCAGCTGTCGTGTTGTGACACATCATGACTCCATCAAATAAGTCACAAATAATACCAATAGCCAAAATAATGAAAAGGTCATGTTTGACAAGACACTGTATTTATGTGTTGCTTATATGATGAAGGTTACCACGGTTTTCGGGAAACTAAATTCACTCGAAAATAGAGCGATATACGTATAAACAAAGCCTAGAATTAGTCTGCATGGTCTATAATACTATGAGGTTATATCGTTCATGGATTTTTCAAACCATGTGCAAGTCGAGGTTTGTAACTACATTTATAATATCGTTGCCGACTAATAACCGACAGAATATTGTTAATTTAACGTAGTTCAGGTCATTCGGTTGCCCTTATATACTATCGACCAATTAAAATACCATGCTAAACGCTCTCGAATCTTTGCCGTGCATGGAAAGTACATATAAATTAATTATGACCAGCTTACCCTGCTATTCGGTGACTCCGCTGATGGCAAGCCGGTGTATACGAGAATTCTTATTGTTGCGGCAAATCAGTAATTCCAGTAATTCCAATAACACATATAGGAGCATGCACTTTCCCACAGAAAGCTAGGACATATTGTAACACTGACGACATCATGGAAAACTATACTTTATTAACGCGAAACGTTATTTGAATATTTGCATGTGTATATACTTAAGCAAACAATTAGCCATTGCAGTCAATTTAAAATTTGGTAAAATTGTTGGTAAAATTTTCCAGCCTATGAAATGACCTGAAAATGACCTGAACTACTTAAAATGTAAAAAATCATACCAGCCTTGAGTCTTTACACAATGATTCACCTAGGTTAACTATCGATGATTCCAGCCTCGTAATAGAAAATCATCCAACCTTGCATTCAGCTATATATAGAGGTCATATAGTGCATAATTGTATATTCGTATAGGAGGAAACTCTCTTTGCAGTTTATTATTCCGATTTTCGTGTTTATCGGCGTTTTCTTTCTTCCAATTTGGCATCTGGTTTTTAAAACGAAAGAGGAAGTTCTCGATCAAATATATATGAAACGTGAGTGCAAAGCAGAACTGGAGTTCGAAGACTTACCCGCAATAATAAAAGAGAGTGTTGGTCAAAATCTAAAGTTGAATGTAAGTCAGGCGCGTGGCAGGTGCACCGGAAAACCGACGATAACTGCAAATTTCACTGCATTGGTTTTCCCCCAAATTATCAACATTTCGAAGGCATTTAAACGATATTCCGCGAGGAAATACGTTTTTCCGTACTACCAATACACCGACCAACTTTCGGTAAACACTCGTGCGTTTCTTAGCCTCTGCGCGCAAGCTGGCACAACGGGGCGCAAGGTTGTGAAACCCTCAGTGAAACAAACGAGACTTCGTTCTGACGATTCGTGGCTTCCCCTGGACACTTATTACGATGTTAAATACTTGGAAAGCCTATTAGCATCTTCTGGTTATGCCGAACTTGTGGAAAAGATGGAGTACCTCAAGGAATGTCCGCCAAATAGCCCGGATCATGTAAGCGTGCACTTCATTGACAACTCGGAAGCATCGATGGGTTTCACTAAAGCGAACTTACGCTTGGAAAAAGGTTTTTACAACGATATAGTGAAGAACACGTCTCGAAAAGGTTGGACAGAATGCGAGTTTCTGGATAGAGCTATGGCGAAAACTCCTGGCAAACAGTACTGTGTGAACGGAGATATCATACAAGATTGGAAAGTCTTTGAAAGGGATGTTGCGAAGAATGAAAAATGCCTGAACATATTCGTCTGGCGAGGAGTCGAAGGTCCTACTTATCGCTTGAAATTCAGTGAAGACCGTATGAAGTATTCATCAACCGATCTTGCATTAGCTTTGAAGCCAGGGCAGCCTGTCATGGAAGAGGTCGAGCGTTTTCAAAATGAGATACTGTCACAAAACTACATTGCGGTGTACATACGAAGTGAATTCATGTTGCGTGAATTTTCCATCAGTTATCTTCGAGACTGTATTCAACTAGTACTTCAGGTTCGTATTGCACTGATTTCAACTCTTTGAATTGCACATTAGGCCTAGTTTATCAATTTTGCACGTCGCATTTTGATTGCGTAAAATGCAATTCATATACAATGCAATATAGCTAACAGCTTTTTCGTTTTTATTAACCTCGCTTGCTGCTCAATTACCTGGGGGAAGAAATGGACCGTTGAAATTTTTTCTCAGCCATTCACTGGCCTTTCCATATCAATATAATGAAATGGTAATAGGAATCTTAAGGTGGCTCAAAAAGAAAAAAAATAGGTATTTTCGATAGCTCAAATGACAATGAAAGATTTAACCAAATGCAACCATTTTTTTTGAGAAGAAGTGTAACAGTTTATTCCTTAACATTATCCTCACAAAAAATTGTTAACAGTATATAGATGAAAGGGACATGAGTTATAAATTTGACACTCAACCCATATTTTGACGACACCAAAAATTAAGGTATTACAAGAAAGCAAATATCTCTGAATGTATTATACATGGTTCTTTGAAACTTATAAAGTTATAATCATGAATATATTAGCTATGCAGGGAACTAGAATTATCCAGATAGGGCAAAGCAGTCATATTTTTTTCCACCTGCCAAAATGTTTCATTATTTTTTTTCTGTTGAGCCACCTTAATGAGGTTTATCATCTCATTATCTGATGTTTAAATTGCATCCAACGCGAGCAAAATGCATGCGAAGTATTTTTGCTCATAACTTTTTTACAAAATTATTTACAAACCTGGTTCCATGATGATGACAATAATCACAGCTATATATATACAAGCCCATGCAGGCATAAGTCAAGAGCTCTGAAGTCGCCTATGTTTTGATTTGGAGTGCACATACATGCTCGTATTTTAGAATTAACTACAAGTCTATAACTAATTATAGAGTTACCTAACCAATCACAGCTTAAAAAAATATCCGACCAAAAATCTTTATTACAGGCCCTGTTTGCTCTAAAAAGGATCACTGGGTTATCTCGTGTTTACGTCGCCACGGATATGGGTGAATACGGTTCGAGCTGGCTGGTTCGCTTCCGGAGTAAGAATCATTACCATGAGAATTTTTTTAAAGATATTCATGATGATGTAGTGAAACAATCCCAAGGCGTAACCTACAGACCCCCGTCTAATGTGGTTGATCGCGGTATTATCGCAATGGTCGACCTAACTTTGTTATCCCGGGCGCGACATCTCATAAGTGCCGGGCCGGGAACCTTTCGAGAAACGGTCGCTGCGAAGTTTTTAGAGAATCGTCGAAGCGATAAACAGACATTGTCACAAATCACCGTTTGTGCTGATTACAAAACGAGCGATTAAAAACCCGCTCTGCCATGCTACTGCGCTCTTCTCAACGGATGCATGTCGAATACGGACTGTATTCGTATATTGCGTACCAATTGATCGAGAATGAGTTACAGTCCGTATTCGTTTGAACCCGAAAAAAACAAAGGATATGTGGATATGTTTCACTGATTCAATCCCAGAACCACCTCGCACCCGAATTGGAGATGAGGAAATAGAAAGGGTTGATAGTTTTGTTAGATACTTTGTTGCCGGACTACAGAGAAGACTCATACGATCTTAGGGAAAAAAACATATGTATAGTTAGCTCTCTTTTAATATTGTATATATTGTATGTAGCCATTGTATATATTCCTGTAAATCCATTGTACTTTTTACCCAAAGATGGAACAAATAAATTCATTCATTCATACCAATAACGCGTGCATGCATGCATGTGCTAACAATCTTTCGCCGTACTTTTTGAAAGGCAATATTTCCTCTTAGCAATAGAAAGCATTCTACCATATAATCTTTACGATGAGACGATTATTTCACTGAGTTTAGTAAAAGGTAGGTAGTAAAGGTAGTAAAGGTGGTAAAAGAAGGTAGTAAAAGCGCGCATTTCTAAGTTCTAAGTTTCTAAGTTTTGAAGCAGCTACTCGTAACTATATTAACTAATCGACAATCATACATATTTGAGTAGAATCCTCAATCAAGTACAAGTATCTGGGGCTTTGTCAACTATATTAATGTGCTACGAATAGTTTTAATACTTAAATTTTTAGCGAAATTTAAACTGTTTTTTTGAGGTTCACTTATAAACTTGGTTTGAGATAACTGCTTCTTCCCAATTCAAACTCACGGATAAACAGCTATAATCAGTAATTAATGAACATAACTTCAAAGGGTTTCATACATTTTGCGATCCACATATCAAACTTACAAAATGCGCGCATTAAAATAAAACTTTTCGACGTTTTTCTCAACTCTTAGTTTTTCGAAAAAAATATTCCACAAAAATTTTTTTGCGAATATGAGGTTCTCTGTGAGGTTCCTCAGAATATGACGTTTTTCTCTGAGGAACATGAAGTTTTAGGCTGCATGTGGCTTCATTAGTTCGGTGAAGTGCAAGGGGGCTTACCGCGCGAATAAATACTAGGTTACCCATAGGTGGAAATGCTGCCTGAATAAAGGAATCCTAAATGGTTTTCCGTGCAGGACTGCGTGATACGGCACGCGGGAAATTGCGAGACTCTCGGAAAGCGTGAAAAAGCACGAGCCGTAGGCGAGTATCACGCAATCCTGCACGTAAAACCATGTACTAGTTTCTTTATAAAAGAACTACAGTGAAACGACGGTCAAATTTTAACAACAAAAAAAAGCGGCATTGTAAACTTTGCGTACAAGATTGTCTCATACTGCACGCCTACGAACCAATCAAACTGCGTGTTTCATTGTAGTTATTATATAAAGCATGATCATGTTCGGATTGCCAATCTCGTTCCTACGGGAATTCTGTACGAAGGGTGTTTAGGGAGTCTCTAAGGAGAGTCCAGTATATGAAAGCTGTTCATCTTAACATGGTTCCTAGTTGAATTTTTAAATATTCCATTTAATCCCACACAGCAAAAAATGAATTTCTTAAGAAATTGAATTTTCTTAATTTAAGAAAATATTTACTTGTTTCAAGAAACAATTTTCTTATTTTGAGAAAATATTTTCTTAAGATTTTTTTCTTCTTAATTTGAGAAAACATTTTCTTGAAATAAGAAAATTATTTCTCGAGAAAATATCAGAGATATCACTTTCTTATCATAAGAAAATGTTTTTCTTAAAATGAGAAATTGTTTTCTTAAGAAAATATTGAGATATCAATTTCTTGTTATAAGAAATATATATTCTTAAACTAAGAAAATGCTCTTCGTATTAAATGTGAAGAATTTCAGCTAAGAGTAAACTTCAAAATTACTTGTGTTTCAAATGTTCCTTATTGTTGAAGTTTGTTGATTTCAAAAAGTTATATATGTTTCATATTTTATTGTTTTTAGTTCCGATCATTAGATGATTTTATTAATTTAGCGCTAGCTAACTACATCAGTATGAGTCAACAATGAAGCTTTTCGTACTTGCACTTTACACTGAAGCATGGCGTGACATATTCGGTCAAGAACCGTTAAAATAGAACAAAGTCATAATATAATGTTTGCAAAATGCTGTTTTCATTTACGGAAATCCAGCGTGAGATAATTCAAAGCATTCCAAGTTAATACTTATTATTATATGGTCCAGCCTGACGCAGAGCCTGATTATTCCATTTATCCCATTATGCCTTTCGAGCGTAGACCACGAGGGAAATTTGAATACTTAGCGAAACAACCTATAACGCTATTAACGGATAGTAAAGAAATATTGTTTTTTTACGGCGAATATGGCATTTGTATCTTGTTATTAACTTTATATATTACCGATAAAGATATGGACGTTTAGGATGTGAGAAAATATACTCTATATCGGCGCAAATTTGTGGTATTTCATAAGGTGAGTTGATGTTTCATGATGTCATATGCCAACATGCTGATCGAGTGTGTTATTATATCAGTACAACGTATAAGCCTTTATTTGTTAGCTTTCGTTAGCCTTTATTCCACCCTATTATAGATCAAGAATTGTATTTTCATCGTTCAATGATTTGCGCTATGATTTTCCATGTTATTATCTGTTTATATAGTTAAATAATTGGCTATAGCACTAATAGCAGGGATAGCTAAACAATATCTTAGAATTTCTCAGCAATTATGGCCTAGAATACCTCAGAGGAGCAAAACAGAATAGTCCAATGTTGTGATATATACATTTAAGGAGCAGCATATGGCAGTGTTTCTAATGTCTTTGTTTGAAATGAAGGATAGGAGTTGAGTTCTATTTTCAGATTGATACTAATTACTAAATCCAGAGGGGTTAATGTAACAGTGCTTCTCCACAGTAGGGTTGAGACTGTTCCAAAGGGTATAAATTGTGCATCAGAGTCTGCCTATATCATTAAAATGATCACAAAGCTCTCTATTTTGCCTTCAGATACATTTACCCATCCATATTTTGTTAGGGACAATTTTTGGATTTAACACCATTTGATTTCATTGGATAAGGGCTCTATCTATATATTGTTTTAATTAATTACATGTATTTTCATGGTGAATTGATTGGAATTTAAACTATCATAGGGATGTAGAAAAGCAGTGTAGAATGGGTTGAAGGATGGGTGTATTTGATAAAGGTCTTAAAGTAGTTTTCTTAAAGATGCCGGTATAGCAGGGAATAGCTAAAGAAAAGCTTAAAATTCCCCAGAGTAGCTAAATTATTATTTACCAGTATTTTTTGTTTGATGTACTCATTCCTAACATGATTGCAAAGTTTTATTTTAAGTTAAATGTGAACTTAGGATTTACTTCACACCAATTTTTAAATTATTTACTCTCAAATTTATCTGATGATGTCTCGTCTGATTTTAAGGACCACAAAAATCCTTTTGCAATAATTGATCTGTACTGCAATAATTGATATTTGAAAACATGTCAAATAAACACTGGACAAATACAAAACCTTCAAAGCCGGGGTGCAATATTATATAATCATGCATTTCTCTGTATTTCTATATAATCATGTAGGGCCTATAATTCTCATGTATTAATGTCTGCTGTGTATTCTATATTATGACTCATGAATATTTTAGTAAATTTACATTACATTACTTACTTATAACAAAATATCATGTCAGAGTTTCTAGGGTTTCTTGAGAATTAACTTTTCTTATTATAAGAAAATATTTTCTTGGAAATATTTCTTATATTAAGACAAATTTCTTAAGAAAATTTTTCTCATTATGAACATTCTATAAGAAATTTTGGACTAATTTCAAGAAAATTTTCTTAAACTGAGAAATTATTTGTTAGCAACTTTTCTTATTCTAAGAAAATTTTCTTAAGAAAAAATTTCTTAAGAAAAAAAGTAAGAAAATTTTCTTATTATTCTCCCAAGAAAATTTGAACTCATTTTAAGAAAATTTTCTTAAAATGAGTTTTTTTTTTCTTGAAATAAGAAAATGATTTTTTGCTGTGCAAGTATTCGCTATTTTGGTTGCTATTTACTTATGGAGTAGTTTGTTGCTGATCTATCAACCCTTTGGAGTAAAATTTACCTGCATGGCATTGTAGTAGGGTTCAAAATTTATCTCTTTGTTAATCTACATGGCCAATTCGTGGTATATGGCCTGAAGTATATTTCTCGCGTTTGCAACGTTACGAATCCCTACAAGAATAATAAATTCGTTGGAATATTAAGCGCGCGGATACAAAGGTGGCAGACTATAAAGCATCTTTGTCTTCCCATCCAATAAAGGTTCAATGAAAGACTCTCTATTGTCTTTTTATTCAAGAGTATCGTGACGTGTATACGCTTTGCCTTTGGGAAAACATGTATATACAAAGATATATAAAAAGCGGTTGGCGGTATAGAAAAGTCAATACGATATTGCTTTTCAATACGATTGTGGGATAGACGAACTTGTAGAATAATAAATATCCGCTAAAAATTTCATGTTTTATAATGAATGAGCAGCTTCGGGGGCTGGTTTGGGGCATAAAGATAAATTATGCACATCACGATTCACGAGTGACCTATCTATCTTGAAAACAAATGTCATAGCATTCGGTATAGAAATATCGAGATTATATTGACTGTGGGACAAATATATTTATACCTTTGTTTGAATGATATATAATGTATTTTGATAAATCAGAGTCGTTTCTTCGAAACCTATATAATTTTTTACACATGCATGCACATATACAGAGTTTTGTTCTCATTTCATAACCATTTTAAGACAGATACAAATCTTTATTCCATTTTCTTGTAAATCTGATAAAAAAATGTACCGTCGTATACCTCGCTTTTAACAACCACTGTTTTCATGTTTTCAATGAAATGGTTTGCCGAACAAGTTTAGGTAATCGCCTGAATGGAGCGTAGATACGATGGCGAGTGCGATTTCGGATTAATAGTATGTTGTTTAATTAACGAATGATTTTGCAAAAATTTTGTGAAATTCAGACCAGTCCCCGCATTGACAGTCCTTCCGAACTTTTATCTAATATTTTTTACTTTAAAAATAATGTATATAGTAGTGGAATTAATATATGCAAGTAATAACCACGGATTAAAACGTTACGCATATATATATGCATGCATTCATTGCAAGTAACTCTCGAATTACCGGCCGTCGTAGACCAAGCAATCACCTGTTTAACTTGATGAAATGAAACCTTTTTTATTGTAAATTTAAAGAGTGCTGGACCAGGATACGGTGCTTGTGAGTGATAAGAGAAAGTAAAGTGTTTGTTTTCCAAAAGCCAAACAAATAATCTCATATAGTTATAAAAAAATCATGATTGCATAGTGCATATATATATACGACGTAGAACTTTTCAATTTTCTCTATTCATTGCATGATGCATTACTGCCTATAATGCGCCAAAATACGTACTGCAAATCAGTGGTTTCAGCTTAAAACACTTAAAACCAGGGCTCAAATTCCACGATTCCCATCAAAGTCCCTGTTTGTTGAAATTTAATGGCTATATAATTTGCGATGATTTTCGGCTTTACAGTCAAATATCTCTCAACTCAATAGAGAGGTTTATAAATATTCTTAGTTATGAACAATAGGCCTTTCTATGTGTTCTATGCCGAATAATAAGTCTTTATGTCATGATTGTTGTTACACGTACCTTGTACCAATTACTCATCCTTAATTGCCTCGTTCTGGTGTTATTATATTCCAGTATATATTAGAAGGAAAATGGAATTGTTTCGATTTTCTTTCTCCTCGTAATCCTGAGCCCAATAACAGCTGAACAACAGCAACAGTTTTTAAACCACGAAGCATGCATGCATGAGCAAGTATTTATATAAGACATCCGAGGCAATAGCTAAAAATTTTAAATTATCCATAACTTATATTTCGCGATGAAATGTGTGTATATATATTATTGTGAGACTGTGAGTACACATATTGAGTTTTATAATAGGTGTATAAGCACAATCTAGTCGTATAGTAGCTATATCACAAAATAATCAGAACAATAAGCATAAATTTTCGCCATTACTGTACATATACATGCAGTTCAAGGTGATTCTAAAAACACCATGAAGCCAAACATCAGTTCTCTTGGGCGGATGGATATAAATATAACTATATTGCATCAAAGATCTCGTGTTACAAAAACGTTTTACCTTGCAAAAGCCTTTGTTTGTCACACAAAAGGTTTTTGTAAAACTCCACGCTCAAGTTGTATTCAGTTTGTATAAAGAGATCCGGCACATCGATAGGCCTTACACTACAGAAAGTTAATCACTTTACGAGTTGCCAGAGTGAAGAAAATCATGTCTTTAAAAATTTTCGTTTTAACTTTGCTGGCGTGTCTTGCAACGGCAAAAGTGAGTGAGTAAAAGACAAATGTGTTACAAAAAGAATCTTTAAAAAAATCCTATATTTGTTCATAAGAATATAATGGCACGTGAGTTAAGGCTGTCTTGCGTTTATAGTATACATGCATACTGTGTATTTATACGTTCATATACCTACCTGGAAATTAGAAATAGTATAATTTATAGTCAACTGAGTTTTTATATTTAGTCGGTTTATGACGCCTTTTGTACCACCATGTTGCATTCACATAATTTCTAAGTGCAGAACATGCATGCGGCAACTTTTTGATAAATAATTATACCTCATGCATATATCTGGCTTTTCTTTAGTACATATAGCCAATATATAGAAAACATTTTCCGTGTTTCTATACACGGTTATAGTGTAAATTTCGAGGTGACTATTGATTTTTCTACATTCTGGTCAGTGCATGACTATAGGCTAGCTTTTTGATGCTTTTTTTCAAATAAGAAACTTTAAGTAATTATAAATTTTTATGAAATTGTGTTGATTCTTACTTGTAAACACCTCCAAGGTGAAAATGTATATATATACTAAAAAAAGGCTCGGTGATTACAAGCCTATATTCACTTCGGTGATTACAAGCCTATATTTACTTCGCCAATCACGCGTGGCAGTTTGGGAGAACGAGAAATAATCAATGGGATTCCGTTTCATTTTTTTAGATGAACTCAACAACGCGAAGAAAACTCAACAGACATCAAATGATGAACAACAAAAAATTGTTATGGAAGACTTGAACACTCAAACGTCGACTGATCTCACAACCGTTGCAAATGATGACCCGGACAGTATCGCGAATAAAGGACGTATGTTTATTCACACTATCTTCTCAGTTGTATTCGTTAGAAATATCATAATTTAGGAGTTATATTTGCCTCGACACTTTTCTCGATATTATAAGACGTATTTTAAGACTTAAAACTAGAAATTGCTATTTACACGTGAGTAAATATATAGAAAATAATGGCCGGAATGTATCCAAAACAAAAACTATTGAACACATGTAGGTAGAACCAATCAATCTAGACTTATATTATTTACGGATTATATCAATTTTTGCTTTCGTTTTCCATTTTAACTTTTTAGTGTGTCACTGGGGCATCAAGGTTTGGCACAAGCCTCGCACCGCCATTCGTTGTAACTGCATGAAATGGTGAGTGAAATAGTTTCACTAGTCGCAAGTACAAAATTACACAAAAATTGATACAAAGATCAACGCCAAGCAAATATGGTCAGACATACCCGCACACGAGTTTTTTTCCTTAGGTAATAGACCATTCTTATAATGACGTCAAACGCGGAAAGTCTGATGATACACGGAATTGGATTGGCTCCGCTAAACCATCGAGCTAATCAAACTTCGTGTAAGATCAGACTTTCCGCGTGACGGAACTGATCCGCGTGATCAGACTTTGACGTCATTATGAAAAAGGTCTATTGGACAGTGCGTATAGCTGTAGTGCGCATTGTATAGGCTTTACGAATAACGTAGCTCGACGATTTAGCAATTTATTCAAGTGGTCGCAATTCAAAAGAAACAGGCAAAATCTTTCGCATTTTACGTGGAACCACGTCCTAACACCTCCTATATAACTTCCGACCTCATCTTTTTAACCTATAGTACGTGTCAGACGGGTGGTAATTGGGCCTGCGCATATGAATTCGCATACTGTCCATACTTCTGTAAGTATATATCGCACAGCTGGAATCACTTTCGAGATTTCTCGTTAAAAAATACAATCCGCTACGATCAAATTTACTTTGGGTTTTTTCAACTTTTAGATTGTGGCAATGTTATCTTCAATCCCGCCAAGCAAATCTGTTGCTCCGGTAAAGTGTACGAGAAAAAAGGCGGCCATATGTGCTGTGGCTACTTCTATTACAACCGCGCAGTAATGCAATGCTGCAATTACTACTCCGTGAAACCGAGACGGGCCGTGTGCCCTCGTTTTAAAGTCTAGAACCCAATTTCTCGTGGCGAAAATGAGAGAGCGACTCTCGTATACATAGTCTTTGGCTTCGATATTAATTAATACGCATGCTTGAAATTGAAAGAGCGATCGAATAGAAAGTATCATATTAAATCTAGCTGTCAATTGTGTAGCGACTTCATTGATATTTTTCGAATCAAATATAGAATTGAAAGAATATCTATCGTGAGTGGGTTTAATATTGCACGGCGGATTATTATCTCACACAATTTTAACCATCTCTTATATATATGCATCTTTTACCTGTAATATAAATATCTTTCTACATAACATTTGGTTCTGTTGCCACATGATAGCAGCCGTATAAATTACTTGACAATTACTTGAGTCTGTGGAACTGTAAAAAACTTGGAACAATATAACCACGTCGACATCTCTTATAACTAAATTGAAGGTGGTTTTACTGAGTTTTTGAACGTTTGAGACTGGCTTATTAAAAACCTAAAATCTGGGAATGTTAAGAAACAATAGTAGAAGTAAAATACGTTGATTTGCCAATTTGCATGCAGAAAAAAATATCAGGCAATTAATAGAGTCAAAATCTCAGCTTTTTGCTTCATGCTTTTGCATCCACGAAGTATAGAACTGAACCATAAGAGTTATCGTTCCAGGTTTTACTACAGTTCAGTTGTTAGACATTGCCTCGCCATGTGTATTTTTGACGCAAATATAGCTCGATTTCGAAAGGTATGCGACTGCGTTTCAACCTCTAGCTATAGGCTACAACAAATTTTAAACGATTGAATTTAACATCTTGTCGAACAACGTAAACAGTTAGGTTATACTTATATATAAATTATTTAACATGATGTCACCCTCTTCCAGACCTCGTTATGATGAAGAGAAGTCTTACAGTATTGACTCTTTTCGACTTTCAAGGGTATATCTTTGCCGCTCAGGTTTAACTTATTAACAAAATCGGGAACACTTTCAGCAAAAGATGATGCGTCCTTGGTTTTAAAGCGATGAAAATAAAACGCCATACAAAACCCAGTCATAAAAGCATCAAAACCAGCACGGTGATTTCCCGTGGCGGTGTTCGTCGGTTTTTTCGTTTCTGATGGGTTTTCGGATTTGTCCGACTCATCGGCGATATCACAATCCGCACCGCCGTTCACTTCACAACTTTCATCATTTTCACATTCTTTGGAAGAAATATTCTGTTTTGACTTTCTATTTCGTTTCCGTTTCTTCTTCTTAGCTTTCTTCTGCTGTTCATAATTCAAAATGACATCAATGTCATGCGACATCTCACATTGCATTCCTTTAGGACAATAGCCATGCGCCTGTAGGAAGGAGAAAGGATTTTTTAGAAGTTTGGAAATCAAAATTGAACATTTCATATTTGATTCACGCATAAAGTCTATAAAGAATAAAGTGCCTTGTCTTTACATTTGCATGGCATTTAAATACATAATATATTATATATAGCTATATAATTTAATAAATTTGTTATCCTTCCAGTCGACACAGGGCTGAGTGGTCTATACCCTCTTGAAATAAAGCTGCTCAATCCAGGACACTGGTACATAACCAAAAGTTTGGCAAAATCTATGTCAACCCATATTCTGCGCGGCCACTATTACACAAAGCAGGGAGCGAAAGGCCTAGATTACTAGGCTAAACCCACCGCATACTGCTCGCAAGGTAGAGCTGAGCCCGCAGACACTGATATCTTGTTGATAATTCCATTGATCGAGACATCAGCGGTTGATGGATAACTACAGCATTCAATAGTCACACACGTTTTACCACTTGCTTCATATTCGATATTTTCGCGCCAACTAAGGAGAAATGGATGTGAGGAATTCGTCCTAACCCAAACTGACTGAATCTGTAAGTAATTCGTGGAAATTGGGGCAAAGGAAAGATCAGTGCATGCGTACTATAAAAGTTATATTATAATATAGCTATAGTAAATGGAAATACTGTTATGGATATAATGATACAGTATGCATGACAGGTTATAATAATTATAATCTTTGACAATGTCCAATTGATTTCATCACCTCTAAACCCGGCTAACAGAAATAAGATTATTTGGCATACTGTACCTTTTTTTAAAAATGTAATTCAGGTAGGTTGCGGAACAACCCGCGTGAAATTCAGCAATGTATTTCGTATCTATCACTCCAGCATTAAACATTACCGAGAGATCAGCAAGAAAGGTCGATAATGACGAAGGCAAATCAGTGTAGAAATTCTGATATAAGAACACGAGATCCATTATCCCATTGTGTAATGCAATTGGTTTGGAAGACCTCAAGATTTCGAAAAACAACTCTGATATCGTGTTTACATCTTTTTTGGCATCCTGTAATGTATATATTCAGTCGTCGGACTTCTGCTCTGACACCGGGGCAGCGGAGTGTATGGGACGTAGAGTAGATTGAATTGAGATATCATATTTCAATGAAGAGAGAACTCGCAATGGTTTTCGTGAAGGCGGGAAAAATTAATGTAAGATTTCATGCCTATATTTTGTCCCACCTATCGTATTAAGTTATCAATATCTTCCCCTCCTAGCTGAGATTTTCAGTATAGGGAGTTTAAAATGACACAACGGCCAACGGGTATACACGGACTATCTTTAAGCATTTTTTTACATATTCCTAAGGCTGAACATTAAACTAGCGATCATGACTACGACTTATAAAATAATAGCACTAAGGCATGCGACGTCTTGAATACATATGTTCAAATTTATGTTATAATTAGTGAGAAATGTGAATCGTTATTAGATGCATTCCCCTTTATAAACTTAAGGCCTTTATCGTAAATTGACTGAAATAACTTGAAATATTCATAGCTAATTATTTCACTAATAAGTAGTGGGTTGATAGTAAATTACAGTACACAGTACGTTTTTTTAAAGTGACGAAAAAGTAATATAGCTAATGCATGCATGCGTCGAACAGAACGTATACTAGGTTCACAGAAAAGACTATTTCGTGATACCTGCATGCATGCACGCACTAAAGCCAAAGGCTCATATCTGAAATATCAGCAGGACAGAAATTTCTGTTCCGCGATCAGTAAATGTGCTTTTAGCATATTGAGTTATGCATCTAAATGGTGTCATAACAAAAATCGTATACATATCTAAATTTTGAGTTGGTAAATTATAAGAATATCGAAAACACCCGATGCCAGAGACTTACAAGTGTAGCTCCTCATATATTTCAGTGGAACAACTGCTCCGTTGACACACTGTCACTTACCTTGACATTAGGCGTAGAGTAAGGAATTGCTTTGGCATAATGTGTATTGAAATCAAAACCATGCTCCAATAGAAACTTCAATGAAGCAGGCTCGACAGTGAAACTGTCTTTTCGTAACAGCATCACGTTATATGTTTGAACAAAAAAATCAGAATTTCCTTTTCCAACATTTGTATTTTCAGCTCTTTTCTGGAAGACTGAAATCCCCACAGACAGTATAGAACGTGTCTTTGCAATGTCGCAAAATGCCTTGTATCTTTCATTCGAATCTCTGGGGTGGAAAATAATCTCATTTAACAAAGACGTCTGCTAGTTTTATTAAAACAATTTCTGAAATTAAGATTCTATTAGGATTACCTTGCCATGGTGTCTTTTCTGTTACCTATACCGCTCATCTCCTAATAAAATTATTACAGTTAGAGACAAGATAGTATAGCAAGAACTCAGACAACTTTGTGAAATTCAAAAGAACAACACATTAAAAAATGAACAACACATCTTAAAGACATATATTATCAATGAATTATGATGATGTCTAAATTCTTTATGAATTTAATGCATGGTTATTCATGGAGAAGCCACAGAGTAATTCGTGTTGCATTCCCAGGCATTCAATATGATTGATAGATCATAACATCTCAAGTCTAATTGCCCATCCTACAAACCTAATTAATGTCAAACCTGGAAGGCTTGAACCATAAACTGGCTTAATGATTTTCTCACCCACAACAAATAATTAAATTACACGATCAAAGTTTTTCTGCTTGAAAAAATGTGCCAGCTGGGATACCTCAAGGAACATGTAATTAGGTCCTTGTCTAGAAATTATCTATGATCTATGCCCGTTGCTCTGTTAGGTAAATAGAATCACTTATGTGAAAGTTTGCAGATGAAACCACCAGTTTAGAACGTTGACTAGCTTTACATTAACAGGAAAGAATGCAGCAGGAAATTGATTTTGAATTTGCTTAATGGTCAGCAGGAAATGATCATATGTTTTAGAAAGACTAATATTCCAGCATTAAAGCTAATACAAGTACATATTAGATAACCTACCTTTTTAAAGAGTTCAAACAAAAAAACTTTAGGACTTACGTTCACAAATAAAGAAACATATATTTGACATGCGTAAAAATAATCAGCAAAACGTTTGTACTTCATCAAGCGATTTAAACAGGCTAATGCAGATGACAAATAAAAAATTTTATGCAGTGGCATCACTAGGGGTGGCAAGGGGTGGTATTTGCCATCCCCATGTGCTAAAATTAGGTATCTTATAACATATGGTGTATGGGAAAGGGGAAAAAAAGTGAATTCCCTTTTGCCTTTCATTAAAGCCATGCACACAACTTCACACCAGTGTTGCCTCCTCAGGAATCAATTAAACCTATCAATCTTATTCATGTTTACATATATCATAGAAACAATGGTGAACAAAAGAATTACATTGGGCATACAATGAATATATGAATATGCACCCCCCAACTAAGCTTTTAGCTATGGCCACACCCCTGAACCTCTAGTTCTGGACTTCTAGACAAACCAAAAACTACCATACATCTTCAATATTACTCCATACCCCTGCGACAAAAATGTACATTAAAACATGCTTTCTTGAATTCATTTTCACTGTGCACCCTACTGCCTAAACCTATCCTCTCTGTGAGAATTGCTGTTTTATAGTCCATAGTTTAGATTATTACCATGATTGTACATATATAATTATGTCTCACCAGATCAAGTGCAATAAAAGTTGCAGACTTAATAGCCAAGATAAGTCCTGGCCAATATTCCCTGACATTTTCCGCATGCACATCAACCACGGGAATATTCCTCTCGGCCATATAAACGAGATCAAATTCCGTAAATTTAATGATACCCCTACTTTCACTACTTTGATCAACTCCACATGTACATGCGTTTTATTAGTTTGGAACACAGTTTTAGGACAATCACTCCAGTAATACATAAAGATCAGTGTTAAGCGAGCTGAGGAAATTAGCCAATCAGAAGCCAGAACCAGTCTTCTGTTTGCAGTCTGTTTGATATTCATATTTGACTTTTATAAGGAAAAAGCGCGAGATTCAATTGGAGCCCGCGATTTCGTTCACTGGTCCAAAGAAAATCCATCAAGCATGCGCAGAACCAAGACAAGAGATTTTGCCTCTGACATGTGTGTTATATGTAGAACGTTTTGGAACGAAAATTTTAGCAAGAGTAAAGAAAATAAAAGTTGCGGGTGATCTTTAAAACGGATTTTACCTAACCGCAGTTTGCTAGAAGTGAGGAGAATATATAAGCTGAAAATCGCTCAGAGATATAATGAAGCTTACAGCTGATCTGATTTTGCAGTCAGCACAGTTTACAAATGCACTCAAAGACAGAGAACTTGATCTTAGAGGTATTTACTTCGTTTATAGTTTGATTCATGTCTTTTTATGCCCTGGAACTAACAGTACTGCAAACAATAGTGATAATTTCGTTCGCTGTTATGAAACTGCTTCAAATTTAGTTAATTAGGAAATAGGAATGAATTAAATGTTCAGTTCGGACTTCGGATAGTTCAAATCCACGAGATCAATCAACAGTTCACTATAAAACAATACTTATATATTATAAAGTTGTCAATTCATTACGAATGATATCAATTCTTGCAACTGTGTGTTGAAAAGTGCTTTAAGAAAAGTACAGTCATAGTTTATTAATCCACTATGATGCATCACTATCAGTCATTTTTGTAATATAGGTTACAAGATTCCAGTCATTGAAAACCTTGGAGCAACTTTGGTAAGCTACAGTTGACTTAGCAAGCTACAACCCAGCAAGATGAGAACATTTCCTTCTCATGTAATAGAAATGTTAAAATAATAAGCAACACATATTACAAACAGGTCACTTTGCAAAGCAGGCCAACTTGCTTAGCTGGGTCAACAACATTTTTCTCTTAATTAATTAACTTTATCTGAAAGGTCCCATAAATCAATATAATAATATTTCAAAGATAAGTCGAGAAATACAAAGTTTAGGTACCGTAGGTAAACTTTGAAATTGATAAATATATAGAATATGGCCCATAAATGGCATGACTGAACAATATTTAATTGATTTTAGCAGTGTGAGAATATTCTAGGATAGCATTAATCCAATATGTTTCCTACTTTTTATATACATGTTGGGAAATGGGAAGGGGACCCATTCTCAACATGTCAAAGGTAAAAAGTTTGGGAAAATTGCAGATATTAGTGGCAAATATTGTCAGTGGTAAAGGGTTTTCAATTCATTGCTATTGTGTTTTTAGGACCAGTTTGACACAATTAATTTCTCAGATAATGATATCAAGAAACTTGAAGGATTTCCCTTATTAAAGAGATTGAAATGTCTCTTGCTGAATAACAACAGAGTTTGGTGAGTATTTATGATGAAAAATCTGTTATCTTTTAGTGATGTTATCTATTATTGTTGCCATCAGATGTTATATAAACAACTCCTCTTTTACACTGTACATTGCATGGATATTATTTTTGCAAATAAAGGTATATATAGATCCTTAATATACTGATGGGTAACAAAATTATGTGTTCTCCCACATCACATTTAATTGAAGCTCTTCTAATAATGTTTCATTTTTCCAAAATGCAAATTGCAGAGCATCATTCTTTGGTTCCTGGTATAAATATCTTCATATTATTTCATACATTTCAACAAGGCTTATGAAAATGACCCAGAAGCTATTTTTCCATTCTGAGATCTTTAAACAGAGTTAGTCAGATGGTTTTGCAATATTTGATGTATCATATCAAATGAATAATCAATTGAAAAATCCTCTTATGTATAATAGTAAAAAAAATGTAGCTACAGGGTCGTTATTGCTTGTTAATCTTGATTTGATTAATACCTGTCTATGAAAAAGTTAAACCTAAAAATACACGTACCCATGTAAATTAGATGACTTTAAGTGTTTTGAATAAGATCTAATGATTTTATGCATATATATTTTTACTGCAAGTGTGGATGGACCAAATTGAGGTAAGCTATCGATGGCGTCACCCAGAAGAATTCCTTAATTCCATTGTTCATAGATAATTTATTCACCAAATCACTGCTTGGAACAATAGACGTTTGAAATGCATTATATTTTGAATACTGGTACTCGTAATATTTTTGCTGTGAAAACAGGCTCTAAATCTTCAATCTGCCATTGTTTTAGCATTTTTTTGGTTGTTATCGAACAAAAATCACTTGATTAATGCAAGGCACATTTTCATCAATATAACAATTTCAAATGTCATATATTCAAATTATATGTTTACAAGGTAATGGTGCTTCAACTTAGTCAATACTCAATTCCAGATATGCAAAGAAAAAAGTACTTCTAGCTGTGGAAAACATGAGTTCCCAATGCATAGCTAGACAACTAAACAGTAGGAATTTCAGGGTTTTTATTTTCAAGCCAAAAGACAAATACCAATCTACAAAGTTCTCTCTATTTAAAAGTCTTCATTTTATGTAAAAAATCTGACTCAACAAATCATAACATTGTGTATGAAGGTCTTGTTTTGTTTACTTTGTATTTTTGTTACAGTCGAATTGGTGAAGGATTAGAAACATGTTTACCAAATTTAGAAACGCTGGTCTTGACCAACAACAGTATGCAAGATTTGGTATGTGACATGCTAAACATGTTTAGAACAAGTACTTTGGCAGAGGAGCAGATTTTCCTTCTTTCATTGTTGATTGCAGAAATCATCCATACTTGAAATTTAGTATAATGCACTGCAGTACATGATTTACAATACATTTTTTTTACCTAAAACCTTTACAAAAGGATTTGTTTAAAGTATAGTAGGGTGGTCAAAGATTTTATTATATCTGTTACATCATTTGAATACAGAAACAAATAAATAAATTCATTTTACTCCTTTTTTTCTATATAGAGTGATTTGGAAACATTAAAAAGTGTCAAATCATTGAGATATTTAAGGTAGGGTCAATCTTACTAGTATACCGGCCTAGCTTTAACAAAAGTTATAGTATACAGATATTTTTCATTTGCCTCTGATGATTGACAATGTATTTTACTGAATGTTTTTAGTATAGTCCATAATGTCCATTCTCCATAGTATAGTCCACTCTCCATTGTCCATAATGATAAATATCAAAGAAAAGAACCATCACTTATTCACTTTAGATAAGAAAGTATTGTATGATAATACCACACAGTACCTTCAATTTCTATTCATGGCTCAGTTGTTTGGTGTTATTTATTGTGTTGCCTTCATCACTAAACCTTCCTCGCTGACCTCCCATATACTAGTAGACAAACATCCTTATGGGCGCGTCCTCATGCATGCCCACAGCTTTTGGCAAATCTAAAATGCAATATACAGTGCATTTGGTTACCACTGCGCATATCACTGCGCATTTTCTCGTTCAACGGCCGCTTTGTTGAATGACGAGCCTAATTCAACTGTTGATATACGAAACGTATTATTTTAGCGCTTTTAAATACAAAGTCATTCAAGTTTCATAATCACTATGCTCGAGCCGAGGAGCTTCGACTGGTCAATTTTAGGTTTTCCGTTTGGAATATTGTTTTACCTCTTTTATGACGGGCTGACTCAGTCTCGACTTATGAAAATTACCAGTGAATATTGTTTATTGTAGAAATTATTACTGTAGTGTACATCTTACTTAACTTTTTCTTCAACAAATTTGGAGAAATTCTATATACCATGCATGTATATGTTGTGAATGAAAACTATACACGCTCCGAAAAGCTTCAGTTCGTCCTCAGTAGTCATGCATGGGCTATGTAACTTATGCCATGAAGAAACGATTTTTTTTTCGCAGCTTTTAAACTGCTCCAAATTTGATAGGATGGCACATTTAGCACTTAAGTTAGTCTTGTGTGCCGCGTATACTTACATTAAAAGACTGGCCCGAGACCAAATCATTCAGTTGACAGGTGATTAAGGATGTCCTTAGTTCATGCAGAAATCTGTTTTCGATAGAAACCTAAAGGAAGAAGTACAAATACGTTGTGCGTTGTTGTGCGTGCATGCAGTACGCATTTCAAGAAACGAAACAGAGTCAGCTATGGGGTAGATAAGAATAGATTGTGTTGATTAACAATAACGAGAAACAGCTGCATGACTATTGGGCTGGTGAAGATTTTAAATGTACTGAAGTAACGTAACTCAATCTAGTAGCCTATACGATATCAATATTTTTCACACCGTTGCAAACGTGCGCGGACAATCGTTCACCGGTCTATTTTTCCTCGACAAATGTGCTTTTAACAAATTTCATTTCATTAATCCCCGCTAACCCTCTCAGGACATCGTATCTTCAAACAAAACCGCCGAGACATGCAGATGCTTAGGCAAGTGTATTGTGTATACTGTAAAAATTTTGAAACATTGCATGTGTAGCTCAGGCCTTCTACATACATGCCGCTTTCTCATGTATAGGCTAAAGCATTTTACAAGCAAGAATGCACGAGAGCTAAGTCCGAGGCACGTTCAATGTGCGTATAACTCTTTCACACGTGACTGGACCGTAGGAAAGAGTCTTTCAAAGAAATTATGTTTATATGCAAATTATGGTCTCTTCAACGTTTTATGAATAAAGTGCTAATGAAATTTGATGGAATTGCGTTCTCGCTAATTTTCTTATTAACATCGTATCTACACATATAGTATAAATCTAACATTGAATGATTGCGAGAAAATATGGATGTACGTTCTCGTGGCAAAAGAATTATCTCGAATTCACACCGGTATTTAGTTGCATCGGCTCTCTTTTGTAGGTTGTCCCTCCATCACTAGTGTCCATTCTAGATGACAGTTTAGACGACTGTTCCATTCTTTCACCTGTTGTCTCTCTTTAAACCCGCAATTTTTTCGTTCTCCACAATAAATCGATGGGCCTCGATTATTACTTCCTGAACATCAAACTCCTATTTGCTGTGAATATCCTTTACCTCTTCTGTGGGACCGGGTTGAATTTCCTGGTCATTCTTAGTTTCTGGAGATGCGCACAACTACGAAAGAAATTATATCATTTCATGGTCATGGTGTTGTCGTGCTTCGATCTCCTTGCTGCTTTTATTAGTCATACATTCATGGCAACCGTCGCGTTGTTGTCGTTCACTGGAAAGTTCAGTGCATACCCAAAATGGGTGCGAATCTCATTGGACTCTTCAACAGTTTTTCTTGGCTTTTCGTTACTGGCGATGTTAGTAATGAACTTTGAAAGATATTTGGCGACATCGCATCCTATTTTTCACCAAGTCTCGGTAACAAAAAGAAAACTATTAACCCTTCTTGCGGTACTAATTACCGTCGAACTTTCCCTGGTGTTGATTTCTATAGAGGACTTTGTAATTCCCCAACAAGTTGTTGCTCCAGTTACGTTCGCTGCTATATTTCTCCCGATGATATTTTTCAACTTTAAGTTGTTAGTCGTCGTAAGGAAATGCCGTAAAAGCAACAGACTTTCAACCGACCGAAAAAAAAGACTCTCTTTGAAAAATGTATCGAGTTGTCTGCTGGTTGTTGCCTGTTTTGCCGTGCTCTCTATTCCATTGTGTGTTTATATCGCGCTGGGGAACAATTCTGAGAAAAGAAACGCGTTTAACAATGCAAACATTGCGGGATTCTGGAGTATAACTGTAATCTCCATGAACTCGACATTTAACTGCTTGATTTTTTACTGGAAAAACAAGATTTTACGCACAGAAGGAATGAAAGTTATAAAAAACTTGAATATTTGTCAATGGAACCGTTTCCTATCCAACAGTTAGGTGTTGTTCATCGGCAATGGAAACGTAATTCATGATGTTTATATATATGAATGTCGTTTGAATACTTGAGAGTGCATGTAGATAGAGCATATATAAAAGTATTGCTCACCTAAAATCGTCCACTTCGGTCTGTTTCATCCGCGTGTAGGAATCTTCAGGTGGCAGAAAAAGAACAAAATTTTCTTTACGGGAACGTTCTCCTCATCAAAATCATATCGTTATTTGTCTACCACCTGAAGATTCCGATACGGATTAAACAGACAGTATAGTGGACGATTTTTGATAAGCAATTATAATATATTGGCAGCTACAAACATGATAGTATAGGAAGAAAATGACTGCGAGGGCACTATTAGTTTCGAGCGAAATTTTAGCGTTTTATATCGTATACAATGCATGTGATGGACCTCAAAATGACGTTCCCGCAAATATACAAAAGTGACCTTTCTCGCCAATGTTGAATTATTTAATGTTGTTGACATATCCTATTTGGACTGATCTAAAATCGACCTAGGTTTTCGACCTTGGTTGCATAATACACACTCTATATATGATTTTGTGTGGACAGTATAAGCACCATACGTACATTTATACATAACAATATTTTGATATTTTCAGTTTGATGCGTAATCCTATACTAAATAAACCAAACTACAGATTGTACGTCATCCACAGTTTGCCTCAACTTAGAGTCCTGGACTTTCAAAGAATAAAACAACGGGTAAGATGTGCAAATGTTCACACACAATACAATACTTCTTATGGCGTCCAACTGTAAAATTCTAATGTTCTCGAAAAAAGTGAGGAATTTCCTCACTATCTATGGCGACATATTTTAATCTCCAAAGAAATGGCCTACATTGTAAAATAGATCGGATACGTTATTACATTGGAAAATTCGAGCAATCCTGTCATCTTTTCTTTGCCTGCCTCAGGAACGCGAAGCCGCCGCGAGGATGTTTAGTGGGAAAAAAGGAGAAAAACTCGTGAATGGTGCAATGAAAAGCAAGACCAATAAGTATGTCGTACTCTACTTTTGCGCAATTTAACAGCAGTCACGCGATGCTTGCAAAATAACTGCTGATTATACATTGCTATAACAACACAGAACAACACGTGCATGTGCATGAGGTAGCGCATTGATTAGCGACATGCACTAAAGCAAACAGCCGAAACAAAGATGCATCGATGAAGGAAGCAAATAGTGAACGTATAGAGAGAGGAAAGAATACACATGCTTTGATGGAAGTTATCGGTTTTAAAAACCTGGATATTTGTAGCTCTATATAGCTAGAATATAACGCTATCCACCGTATGATTTTTTAACCGTTGTAAGAAGGTTACTGCACAATGAAACTGCGTATAATATTCATCTCACAATCGATGAAGAAACCCCTAATTGGTCGTAAAAATCACTGTCCGGTGCTTAACGGCGCTGAGATTTTCTGCGAGAAAAACCTTTTACCTGTAAAATATATCGCATGAAATAGGCAAGCATGTTTAGTCCGTATTCTACAATCTTCCTTATTGTACTGTTCCGTTTAAGATTTGTTCCTGGGGCGCCTCTTGTTAATCCTCCAGCCCCACCGCCGAAAAATCCACAACGGAACAACATTGCTGCAATCAAGGTTTGCAATTCTTAACATTCTGGTATAAAATCCAATACTTTAAAACCACGCTCAAATAGCAATTTTTGCGACAGATAGCAAGGTTTGTATTTAATCATGTACAACACTGGCAATATTATATAAATCATGTTGGTAGCACTCGACTCAACTTATAAACAAGACGGCTGGTTCAAATTATATAGGAAAACAATTCCCGTTAATTACTTTTGTGATTCTTACAACATTTGTTCTTACGGTAGGCAAACAGGGAAACAGTAAACTCAGTTAGTCACTCGGCTAACTTTATAGAGTCAATAAGACTAGAACGATTCAGAAGTACTTTTGCATGCCAAATGTTATGAAATCCCTTTTTGATGCCATATAAATCTATTTATAGTGATTTGTCTGGTTAATTCGTTAACGAACGAGACCTTGACCTGCTAAATAGTCAGACGATTCGCGAATCGCTCTCGACTTCTTAGAGGGACTGTTGGGGTGTGTACAAAGAGCAGGGACGTAATCAACGCGTAAACGTAATAGGCATAGAACGTAATCATCTATTTATAGTTATAATCCCCGCACAATTGTTGAAATATTGGTTGAAAAAATAATCTTTTTCTTCCTAGGCTGCCATCGCTAATGCTAAATCCCTGGAAGAAGTGCAAAAACTAGAAATGATGTTAAAAACTGGCCACGTACCAGAAACGCAAGAAGCCATGGCGGTGGACAAAAGTTGAACTAGAATGGCCCTGGACTAAAGGAATAATAATGCCTCGCGTGATGAATGCATCATGTATATATCAACTGACATACATTGCTTGTGCTCTGTTCACTAACTATTCGTCATTGGCGTTGGTCAAAACTAAGATTTGGGAACTACATTGCTACATTTCTATATCATAATGCGTATCATGAACATTCGCAAGTTGTTTATATAAAGTAGTATTTTGTCACTTTTTGCCAGTCTTTTCGCCGCCATGTCTAGTTCATTTGCCTTTATATGATTTATTTTTCCAATATGTAAGTACATACAGAGGAAAGCGTGGTCGGTGGTGGTATATATATAGCTAGGGTATATATAGCGTTATGGAATGTACATAACAGTTTCGATTTCTTAAACTTGGCCAAGTTTTGTGAGATTGTAGTAAACGACCATTTTTCTTCCATTACTTTGATCCATGTAAATAGGTGAACCTTTCAGTCTCAAGAATAAAACTTCAATAAACGTCTGTATATGTCATAATACACCATACGTTTTCTGGAATTATCTCAACCAACTACCCAAGCTTATCATCGTCAGTGCCATCTCTGATAAAACTGTGATAAAACATTCAAATTCATACAGCTGGCTTTATGGCCTCTTCCCAGCTGTTCGTGTACGGTCGTATACATGCGAAATAGTACTGAAATATACGGACCAGTAGATATATCATGATAATTTACTAACTGGTTTAATTGACATTAAAGGACACGAGCGATAAATTTATTACGATTATCTCTAATCCTAAATTTAACTCTGATTCTATATAAGCTAATCTTGTGATTAAATTCATATATTTAGGATTTAATGAACATAGTCATTGAATTATTTCCCGACATTAACAATTCTAACGTTTAGAATTTATCATCTTTATCAGGGTGTTAAATATCCCCTACGAATAATTTCCAATCGTGCATTGTCTTAAAAGTCTTTCTCAATCATTTTCGTCCAGGGTATATAGGGATGACAAAAAAACGCTTTTTTTGACACGTCTATACGTATCAAAAACAGGATATCAACATGTCAACAAAGTTTGTCGGGGAGATTCAGCGGATTTGGGATGTGATACATCACTTGACGGCATGAAATAAAGACAAACATACAGCGAGAGAAAACTTTCATACCGAATAGCGAATATAGAACGGCGTTTTTCAGCTTTTGGATTGCAGCAAATGCCGGAGTCACGTCAACGTGCACAAGTCACAACTATTTCATTTAATTTCGAATACATATTTAACGAATACATATTTGTGTGAGTTTACATACATTAGGTAATATTGATTATTTAGCACGCATTGTAGTCACTAGACACTACATTCTCTTTTAAATGTACTAGCAAATCTAATCTTTAATCTACTAGCAAAATCATGATTTCTCGGTCAAATACAATACAAATTGTTAGTTAAAACATTATATGCAAGTTTAATTTTTCCCGTAAAAATATCAATCAAATTATCCGCAATTTTCCCCCCAAATCGGTTTCATATGTGGCGGCGGGGGGTTAGCATATTAAATAACGAATTACGATGATTTACATATGTAAATAATGCAGAATTATCACGAATTAAAAACAACCCTTTACACCACGGACGATTTAGGTTTTGACAATCAGTGTATGTTGTCGTGCGGTCTGACTATACACCGGACGTTTGGCTTGAACTAGAAATTGCTATGTAGATATATGCCTTTTCTTTTACGATAGCTATCTCTGGTGCATTTCGGCCGTATTGATAGACCACGACAAAACTTTTGGTCTTACCGCGCCATGTGTCAGGAAATGTATCATTGCTGGCCTTTATATTAAGTGTACTTTCATCTCTAATTTGGCGTCGAACTTCAGTTGTAACATTACCTAACCCGTAAACTGCACCCAGGATTGCGAGCTTATGCGAATCTCTTGGACCATGATAATCTCCCTTCCGAGAATAATGTATTACCATTTTTTTGTGCTCCTCCACAACAGCGACTGATGGCGTCTCTCCGCCGTACTGATAAACGACCACCAAACTTTTACGAGTCCCACGCCACCCGTCACCAAATGTAGCATTATTCGCTTGGACCTTCAGTGAACAATTTTTCACCAACTTTTTAGCCTTATCGGTGACGTTTTTCACTCCATATGCAGCACCAAGTATGGTAAGAGGGGGTGATGCAATAATATGTATTCTCTCACCTTGAACAGCGATCTCGACCATGACATTAGATCTGTACTCATAAACGACAACTAAGGTTTTTTTGCGACGCTTCCAACCCTGCCCCCATAGATTATTAGTAACTGGTTGGTCGAGTACAACGTTATTCTTTACAAGACTTCGAGCTTTCACAGTGACATCGCACACACCGTAAACGGCACCAAGGATATTTAGTTGTGAAGAACCTGTAGTTATTCGTGAATCGACTTGTGGACCCTTGATTTCTAAAGTTTTGCCTTCTTTTACCGCCTTTACTTCTGCTGCTTTATCACCGTACTTGTAAACCACGACCAGGCTCTTGTTGCGTCCACGCCAGGTATCGCCAAAAACACTGTTCTTTGCTATAACCGAAAGTGTTGATCCTTGCTGATATTCCCTTACTGTTGCAGTGACATCGGTCTTCCCATACGCTGCGCCTAGAATTTCTAGGTCGCTAGACATAGTTATATATGAAGTTTATGAACGTATGACGTTCTGAGTTTAGCAACTGCACATTCAAACTGACAAATGCACATTCCAGGTTGGCGTAAGTATTGAAAGAATGCACAGCATTACCGCGTAATATATAATTAAAATTGTTGCTATGCATTACAAACACCTAACTCAGTGCTGATATATTATTATTTATATGCATGATGATATATAGGGGGAAGGGCAGACGAATGATTTCAGAAAAAAATTACTTACGAGTGCAAATTGTCTGACTTATCACTGTTTTCGGCAAAATTCGGCCTAATTTTGATAAACCTCAAATTGACTCATCTTTTCTAAATTCAAAGGTTCCTGTGGAGCAGACGCCTCCCACCCTGTACGTTTATTATTTTCGTTTACCTTTCTGGCCTTTAATTCTTATCAGGGTTGTCGAATTACTGAAAAAAGAAGCACAATATTGTTATAGTCGGCACTTTGATTTCTTTGTTTGAAGCCCCGTTTACACTACAGTCAATTTATCGGCACGGCACGGCACGGCACGGCTAAAATTGGTACCCGTACCCAATTTTATTAGTGTTCAGGCAACCAAAACAAAGGCCGAGCATAGATAAAATGGGCACGGGTACCCATTTTAGCCGTGCCGTGCCATTAAATCGAGTGTAGTGTAAACGGGGGTTCAAACAAGGAAAACAGCGATCATGGCAATAATATTTGGGTGATTTATTCAGTAATCTGGCAACCCTGCATGATTCTTATCTTCCCCGGAGCTGTTTAGTTAGCATGCCTATATTTTTCCGCCATTTTATATCTATTCTGGAAAAATCATTAATTGCATTAAATAAATAAAAGTGCTCCTCTCGCCAATCCGCATCCAAAACAATAAATATTTGATGAAATACGATTTTTCTCGAGATTTATAAAATTGATGTCGATGTTTTTATGCACTGTAGGATACCTGACACCCCAGAATGTTTTTAACTCATCAATTCCAAATAACAGCAGTCATATTTCCTTCAGCAACTGGGCTCTTACCACTTCGCTGAATACTGATTGAATTTTTGTTTTGTGATTATATTATTTATATATATACGATTCCTATTCTGATGATACAGACTGTGGTGGCCAATTTTTGGTAAGCAAAAATTCTATATATCTGCATGTTCTTAACTATTTCGGAAACCGGGAAACGAAGCGATCAGTAACGTAAGACCATGCACCAAAGGAATTTAAACGCTAAAACGTGAAACAATTTAAACGTGAAACAAGAAACCGCCATCGGAAATTCTCGAATCATATACTTCCTGGAAATTTCCGACGGAAATTCTTAGACCTTAGTAAATAGTAAGGCGTCTCACTTCCGATGAGACGATCCCGTGTTCTCTCAAATCCTCTCAAAGTTCTCACAACTAACCATTAAATGTCTTGCAATTTTATGGTTAGTTGCTGAAATGACATCACTGGGGAACCTGTTAAGGGTAATATAAAAATATTTAAAAATTTTCAAAAAAGTACCGAGTTTCTACCCGTCTTAAATCGAAGTCCGCAATTGCAATATGTAAGATCGATTGAAGATGCTTTAATTTCAAAATTTTGCCTCGTGGCTTTTTCACGGCGTCTTAGGCGTCACGCCGTGTTTCCTAAATTTCGCTAATACATGTGAAATCGACCAACCTCATCTATGAAAGAAGCAAAAGCAAGGTGGTACGCTGAAGAATGGACATGCAGCCGTTGCTGATTCAGATATAGTTCTCTGATTGAAAACAAGACCTGGAAGCTTGTGGAATTATACCGCCTGCATGGTCGAACAGCAATTGGTTACAAATGAGTCTTCAAAGCAAAATACGATTCACAAGGAAAGCAAATCGATTCAAAGCATTGTTAGTTGCCAAAGGCTCAGGAGGAATATGGCATCAATTGCGATGAAACGTTTTCGTCTGTAGTGCGTTTTTCGTCAATACGCGAGCATTGCCGTTCAGAATAATATGACGATCAATGCATCAAATGGACGTGTTCAACATGGGATTTATGCATGAGGGATATGTTCAACCTGGAGGAGGTTGAAGTGTGTAAGCCTGAAAATCTCTCTATGTCTTCATTCTTCAAGAAACAGTCTCCAAATGTTGGAATAAAGGCTTAAAAGAAAGTTTAGAAGAGAATGGTTTCATTCAAGTCTCGACATGCAGATCTGTGTGTTAAGGCCCACACACACTGGACGCGATTCGCTAACGCAACGCGAATTCGAAATTCGAATAAAATAAATTCAAGACTGAAAGAACATTTTGAGAAAAATATGGATACCAGACCAGACAAAATGTACTATCATTCAATAATTACCAAGAATATCAAAACATTACCAAAATTAGCAGCTTTTGAAAACTGAAAAATTCGTAAAAATCGTGTCGCGTTGGCAAATCGCGTCCGGTGTGGGTCGGCCCTAAATGTCAAGTAGGAATTCGAAGGCACGACCGTAACGGGCTGTTCATCATTGCCGTTCATGTTGACGATGTGATTCCGGCCATATTGACAGGAAAAAGTTACTGATGGAAAAGACAAAGAAAATTAAATATCCTGAAATAACGAGGCTGGCAACGCATTAAGGAACTGTTTGGAATGGTTAATTTTAACTTTCACGTAAAAACTTTTTTAACGTCAACTCGCAACGAAACAATAAGCTAATTTAAGGATTTAAGCAACATTTCAGAATGTCGTCCGAAGAATGAAGCTTAAAAACATCCAAGCGGGAAGAGAATTATGT